TGTAACATGGTAGGGATGACAACAGAGAAGTGATTCTCCTAGGAAAGTCTTCTGTGTAGGGCTGTAGAGTCTGGCTGGAGCGAAGGGAACCATCCTGATGGTACCTGCAGCACAGGGGCTCCAGGAGAGCCCAGTAGTGTAATAGGGAAGCAGCCAGGGGTTACAGGGTTTTAGTAACAGAAGAGGCTAGGTCTTAGATAGAGGTGGTGGGAATTTGAAAGAGAAACACTTGGCATAGTCTGTTAGGCTAGGGACAGATGGTTGGCGTTCAGGGACTTGCAGGAGGTATGTAAGGAGGTGTATCCAAGCTGCCACAGGAAAAAACGTTGGAGTAGACTAAAACGTTAGAGCTACTGGTGTGCAGAAGCAGTTGCTTAGCTTCATACAATGGGGTAGATTAACTTACGTCTCTGTGTTAGATCACTGTTTTCAACCCTGATTTGAATGAGCAAGCAGGAAATCTGATTTGAGTTACCAAGTTTTACATCTATACTTTAGTTACCTTTCTGAAAGCCTTAGTGTAGTCTGTGCCACCACAGCTACCCTTTGCTAACATAGGGAATATATTTAAACAAGCAGGCAGTTTACCATTTGCTCTGGTTAATGTATTTTTTCCATTTTCTGTTAAAAAATGGTGAGTGGGTTTTTTCTTATTTTTGATTAATTTTTAACTTCTGATTTTCATCAGGCTACATTTGGGTAGAAATCAGAATGCAATTAATGAACAAAACCAGCATTTAAAATTGTTTTTATTAGTTAAATGTGCTGGATATAGATGAAAAATGCTTATCAAGCCTGGTTTGTGTCTAAAGCGTACTGACTTCTGTAGAAACAAAGCAAGTATTATCGGCTGTTTATGAACTGAATTAATTGTTTCTTGTTACTGTGGTTTTCAGGAATCTCTTTCTTGGAACTAAGAAATCTTGGTTTCTGAATTTTGGATTCTGGAGGGTTGTTTTCTTTTTTTATTTAATTCTAAGAAATAAGCTCTCTATCCGAGTCAACATCCCGGTGTTGTCGAACTGTGTGTCCCAGCTACATGAGACACAACTTCTCTCCCCAGAGGAAGTCTTCCTGCCCCATGGCCTGGAAGCATGTGTAGCTTGCTTTATCTTGTTTGGATCCTCTCAGTGTTAGGGCAGAAGGAGGTGGTCTGTGTATCACAGACCTCTGAGACACTTACTTGTGAATTGTGGTGGATGTATGGACCATCCATCTTGAAGATCCTTGGTTACTTATTTAAAAGATTAAGGTTTTTGCATGTATCTGTCAGTTCCCAGGACTGGGTTGGTTTTGAGTAAACTATTTTCTCATGTGGGGGGAAAATAAAGTGAATAGGAAAGAGGACAAAATTGCACAGAATTCTCCATATACAGGAGACCTTACTGTTGTCAAAATTAGTGATTAATTCCATGACTTAATGAACTTTACAACTCCAGCTCTTCAACATTTAGGCTGAAAAGTATTTAAGTTTGTAACTATACCATAAAGGCCTTTAAAATTATGAGGCAAAAAAGAGGAATTGCAGGATGCTTTCTGTCATTACAGGCGGGTATCCTCCAAGAGATATACATATATAGATATAAATTTTCATTTTTAAATTTTAAGTATATGTTTAAGCAAACTTGGCCTTGTTAAGGGACTGAACGTTGAAGCTCAAATTTCACACAGTGGGAAATCGGCTTCCTAAATTTAGTACATCTAACATATGTTTAAGATCTAGGAATCTATTTCTGATATAATTCATGCTCAAAGTTCCTGGAAAGCTCTATGACTTATGTGGCATGGCATGGGGAAGATTAAATTATAGCTGATTTTCTTCCATCCTAAGATCCCCAGAAGCATCTGAAAGATTGATGGGTGGTGTAGTCATTGCATTATGTTTTGATGTGTTTCTTTTGGAGGATAGTCTTCCAGTAAATACAAAAGGATTTCAAAATTATTGTGGGTAAGAAGGTGGACAGATAATAAATTGAACTTGGTGTTGTTATACTCTCTTAAAAGCCTTAGCTAGACTTGATTTCTGCCAGAAGGAAAAAGAAAGAGCTGCTGTGTTTGATGTTCATGCTTTAAAACAAGTCCAACAGGGTGGGTTTTTTGGGTGGTTAAAAATCACTGTGGGTAAGGAAATGGAAGTAATTTCTCTAAATCCTGCATGACGTTATACTGGAGATGGGTTTGGTTGTACATATGTGCCACTGTCTGAGAAGCGACAATGTAGACGCAGCTCTGTATCAACAAATTCTCCACTGCTCCCTAATAAGCACAGATTACTACTGCGCCAGAAGTTTAACATTGAAGATCCTCTCCCCAAAATAATAATGAAGTCCTTTAGGAAAAAAAGAAGTTGGAATGCATCACCAAGTCAAAACTGTGAGGAGGGATGGGGGGAGAGGGCTACAGTGAGCTGACTGTACTTTTGGAAAGACACATGTACATCTTCTGTCTACCATTGCTGCCCATGTTTCATATTTAAGGGTGAGGCAGCAGAAAGGAATTTCAGTGGTGAATTGAATCTAGCCAAGAAAGTGGCTTCAAATCAAGCTCTGGTAAGAGGAGAGGAAAACTGCTGCAGGCAGATGGGCAACAGAGAGAAGGCAGGGACTATTTGCAAAAAAAGTAATGAAGTTTGATTTGCTCCTATGGCAGAGAAATGTCTGGAGGTGGGTTCAGGTAGAAGCTGTGTAAATTCGTGAAAATCGAGTCAAGTTATATATTTTGTTTGTATCCGTGCTATATGACTTATCTGGGGAGTTTGTGTGTGCTAGCTCAAATCTTAACTGGAAGAGGGTGGCTGGAGCTGCACTTGGGAGGGAAGACTTTGGCAGTGGCTTTTTGCAGGAGCTGGAGTGTTGGTGGAGGTAGGGGTCAAGGAGACGAATGAGCAAGGGGTGGCTAAGCTGTCTTAGTATGGGTCCTTGCAACACATCCAGAAAGAAGCCCAAATGCCTCATGAATTTGTATCTGTTTAGAAACAGTTCTCAGAAGTGGTGAGATCAACCAGGTACCTAGAATAGTGTTTCCACATTACTGGAAATCTTGCTGGATTCACAATGAACATGTAAAAGGGCTTACTATGAGTGTGCTCAAAGGATGTTTGTAATAATAGAAGGAGAAATTGAGTAATCTTCTGGAAAGTGGTTTAACACACACTGAAATGACTGGTATCTTTCATTAGAAACACGTTTCAGGGCGTAGTTTTGAGATCGTTTTAAACTGATCTGTAGGCAGATTGAAAGGTGCTCCTGTGCCCTGACCTAACTATTGTTGCTTCCTCCCTCCTTCCAAGACTGCCACTTGTGTGGCTCTCTGGTTATTCAGGTCAGGGACCCACTGTGTACCTTAAGAATCAGCTGGATCCGCAATACTGCTGCCCACAAAGCACACAGGGGGGCAGTGGGGAGGTGGGTGTGGAGGGCTGCATCCTGTATCCAGGGAAAACGTGGGTTTAAACCAGCTTAAACTGACTGTGAATCCTGATGCCTTGTATGTGTGAAAACACAGGGTAAATTGTGTAACTGCTGAAAACACCTAAAGCAACCAGCAGAATGTGTTTCTATTCTCAATATCCTATTTTGGGGTTTCTTCACCTGGTACATGGAGCTGTGCCTGGAATTTGTTTCCCCTGAGGTAACAGTTGACTTGTGTTTACCAAAAATAAAGTGGTAAAACTTGGAAACAAGCATTTTGTTCTGATTTGTTTACAGTTAATGCATCAGGACTTTGCTTCACCTCAAAAGAAGTTACTGAAATTAAAAATAAGTGGAGAGAGCTCCTTTTAGGATTGCTTTCTGCTGTGTTGCGTATAGCGTATCTTTTCCTGAAAATATCACTGAAAAAGCTGCTTCAGTGAGCTTCTGTATGTGGGTCTGTATCCCTACCAAAATACACAAGCAAGCAAAGCTCAATGAGCATGGCTGGTCCCACGTGCTCCGCTCGGTGATGCTCAGGCTGGTCTGCATGGTGGGCACTGAGAAAGTGAGGAATGAGGATGGCTGTGTTGTCTTCAAATACCTCTTTGAAAATACGTAAGAGGGCTACATGGAGGAAGAAATATTTGAAATGGGGGGGAGTCCTAGTTCAAAGAAGGGCTCGAGCAAAATGCATTTGAGAAGTAACCCTTACATAAGTGAGTAGATTGATGGTACAGTGGCATAGTTGGGTACTCAGCAGTGATCTGTTAGCCCAGGATGAGCTCTTCTGGTAGAATGGTTATGGCTTATTGTGGCATATGTAACCCTGAGGTTTGATCATCACTATGTAGCATGTAGAGAGGATCTCAAGTGTTACGTTGAGCTCTCCAGCTGGGGCCTCTGCTTGAAAGCAATAGGAAGCTTCAGTGGTGCCTGATACACAGTGGGTACAATGTTAAGGTCCTCTTGCTGTTGAGAATGCCTTATCTGGTGTTTAATTTACTAGCCTGCTTGAGGCCTGCTGCCAAGGCTCCAACTGTTGCATAATGTTACACAGGAGGAATAGCTGGCAGTTTTCAAGCTCTGGCTATCATTCCAGATCACTCCCACACAAAGGAAATTGTAGCGTAGATGTAACTCTGAGGGTTTTTGTGCTGCTCTCAGCACAATCCAAAATTAAACAAATAACTAGGAAAACTAGAAAGAGTTTTCCTGCTCAGGCTGTAGCCCTTCTGCTTTATAGCAGCCTCATCGGCAGAGTCTTGCATGGGGAACAGCATCCAGTGATGGGTAAGAATGAGAAGCTCGCAAAGAAGCAGCACCGCAGTAGTTTTTTTAAAGATCTAAGTGTTAAAATTGCAAGTGTTTCATAAAAGATGAAAGAATCCTCTTTTGGCTTAAACTGTTCTTTCATGTTCTGTAGATTTTGTGATTCCCAGAAAAGCCATACCTTTAATAATCAGACATCACAGGGCATTATAAGATTTCCCCCTTGTTTCCATGCATGCCTGTTCAGTACCCGTTTTCCTGTCAGCCTGAATTGTAATGTTCAAAAACATTCACTGCATATTTCCTTCTTCCCCACAGCAACAGCCCGAGTCTGAGACTGTTCATCTGTTCATCCCAGCCTTGGCAGTTGGAGCTATTATTGGCAAGCAGGGACAGCACATCAAACAACTTTCTCGTTTTGCAGGCGCATCCATTAAGGTATTATTACACTGACTAACTTTCTGTCTTATTCTACGTGAGACTCTCAGCAAGTTTGCACAAGCAGTATTTTCGTGAATGTCCTCCCCCACTCCATGCTTAGAATGTGATATGATAAATGGTACATGTGTTTATAAATCATCTTTTAATCTTCTTTGAGACAAGATAATTAGAAGCATGTTTTCAAACGTCTCCTGAGGTGTGAAATATAAGCTGCAAAGAAAACTACTTTGGTGGTCTCGATTTCTTAGAAACAGACTTATGTCTTAATGATGCACTGCTTAAAGGCTTTCTTCTTGCTTTCAGTAAAGTGAAAATTGGAGAGGCAAATTTCCCTTCTAAAAACAGCAGCACAGGTGAAATCTCCTACTGCTGTGGCTGCTCTTGCTCTCTTTCAGATGGATTGGTCTGGGCTGTGAAGCCCAGATTGCTCCATGTTGAAGTGTGTATATTCTAATATTGCTCATGAACTCCAAGCTCATGGGGTCAGTCAGTTCTTTAGCATCATGTTTACCTCAGCACCCTGATGCTTTACCATCCAGCTGTTAGTGTGTTGACTGCCCCAGTGTAGCTAAGAACAAGAAGGTTTGCAGAGGTTGACCTAACAGAAGCTTAGGTTTGAATTTTAGCAAATTTGGTGAAATCCTCCTTGGCTGTGTATAGGAGTTGGTACACATTGCAATTGTAGGAAGGCCTTGGATTTCTGCTACTAATGTCATTGTAACTACAACTATCTTCTCTAGATGCTTGACATTTTTCTTGTAAATAGCCGGTTCTGCTGTTCTATGATGTAAAGATAATATTTTGGCCTAAATTAAAAAAGAAAAAGTTAATCTGTTTCCTGTGCAGGGAAACGTCAAACATTTTCTTCTCAGTTCTCTTTCTGCTCAGATGTGGCCTGTTTAGTGAGTGCTATGGGAGGGATCTGCCAAAGGTCAAGGGTAGAGGGTTGGAAGCTGTCTACGCTGAGTTGAGTGTGGTGAAGCCAGTGGGGCTAGGCTTGGCTTGGAAGGTGTTCATCTAAGTGTGCAGAGCAAAGTAATTGGGGAACCCTCATGAATGAGCCTTGTGTGTGGTTTGCAGAATGCCAATCCATTAACTGGCCAGTCAACCAACTGGCGTGTTGCCCAGTTCCATCCTTTGTTGAACAGTACATTACATAGTAGTTATACTACCCAGATGGTTTACATTAGTAGAGCACTAATAATCATATTTTATGGGAAAAAATGGAATAGAAGAACGAGGGGTTGATTTTTCTTTATCAAACCTGTCTTGCATGGAGGTGCAATGTACTATGTGTATTTCCGCTTCCTCTCTCCTTTCCCATAGTTTGCATCTATAGATTAAGTGACATATGGAAGGTACTGCTAGGTGGAGAGAGAAATGTGAAACAACCTGGACCTCCAAGAACCTGTCCAAACTAGTTCTTTAGTTGGTCTTTGGAAGATGGTTTAGTGGAAAGGGAGTTTCCCATGCTTCTTATGCACCTGGCTAACAGTGGCCTCGGGCTGCTTCTACTGGCTGGCACCCTTCTACCCACTGCATTTAACATATCTGTATTAATTGAAATTCACTTAAGTTTGCTAAACCCCTGGTTGTCTTTTGTTCCTTCAGTAGGAATTAAGTAAAGAAGTTTTTGGTGGAAATAGGATTAAATGTCAACAGAACTTATACAGATGCAGGGTGTGCTTGCTATAAATTGGGAAGTTGCATGCGTGCATGCTTAGCAATGAAAATAAAAATGCACCTTCATCTGTAATCTGACAGAACAATATGGAGCAACGCGCTTTATTCTGTGTGAAAGTGTTAAAGATGACAGTTAGTGGTAACTTATTAAAAACTTCTCAACTTCCCTCATGTTGACCACCTGCCCTTTATTATAACTTTAACAAACTAATAATAAACTGTGATCAGCAAGGAATACATGCTTTTAGCTAAGAGTTGGAGGTAGTGCTGCCTGAGTAACTTTTGACTTGCCAAACTGTAGTAATCGTACTTTGTGGAGGAAGTCTTTGTGCATGACACTGAACTTTTGAGTTGTGCTCTGGGTTGTTGCAGATGAAAACATTTTGCATCCTAATGTGCTCATCCTGAGCATTGTATACCTGACGAAACTCATTAGCCACAAAGTAAGACTAGATAAAATGCAGATGCACAGGGGTTCTGGTTAAGCCTGCAGTGCCCAGCCCATCATTTCAGAGGTGCATGTGGCTACTGATGAGCTCAGGTTGTGTCCCTTTGCTGGGGGGAGGGAGCTGGTTGCTTGGTAATGTAGGCTTGGTGTGGGGCTCCAGCAGACTGAACTGTTCAGCAAAGGAGACCAGCCAGAGATATCTGGGCTGCCTGCTGCCTACCCTGTACTGCAGTGCTGGGACCTGTTGGGAACCATTGGGATCTCCTTGGTTATATATTACTCTCAGATTAGCCCTTCCTGTCTCCAAAGGAGTTGGGAATGAGTGTTTTGGGTGTATGAAGTTGTCAGCTTGTGGCTTTGACATATGGAAGACTGCTTTTTTTTCTGGTTAGGAATGTAAAACTGTTTCTCTCAGAAGTTAAAAATGCACCACTTGGATGCTATTTGTATGTATATAACTTCTCCTTCCAAGAGCAGACAGACAAAATTAACACTGAAGTCTCTTATGCTGACCCTTCAGACGTTGAAATGTTAGTCAGTAAGTGTTTCTTTCATAGCCCTCAGCTATGTTTTACTCCAACTTCTGAGAACAGGACATTCTAAGATAAAAGTTAAGCGAGGAAGATCTCAGAACATTTTAACACATCTAAGATGTAACTAAGGCTTGATGGAAAAATACTTGTCCTAAAATTTCAATAAAGGTACTGGTGTTCACTAGAAAAATATGAGGTGACTGAGAGGCAAACTGCAGTGTCCTTGTTACGTGAATGGCAGTTGTCAGGCTGAGATGTGTTCAGTCAGCTGCCTCCAAATGTGTCTTGAAATTTTGCCCCTCTAAAACAGTTGTGGTTCAAAGAATAAATGGGATTTAGTCTGTGCGTGCCCTTACCACAAAGTCTTGTCATATAAATGTACTGCTGTAAAATGAACGTGTATTTTTAGGTATAGCCAACTGGAATGCAAAAGTTGTATGAAAAATAAATATGCAAAACAGATAAGTAGTATGTAATGTCTTCTGCAACTGAGGGCTCAATATGAATAACTACATAAACTTTTGTTAGCAAAATTCTTTAGTGAAAATGATGCATGGTGACTGGTAATTTGTCTGAAATAAGCTACAGCTGTTAAATATGAATAACATCCCTATGCCAACAGCTAAGATGAAACCTTGGAGTGTTTAATATATTGTTCATTTAACAGCAGCTATTTAATACTAGGTGCAACAATGGAAATGTCAGTTGTGATAAACAAAAGATTCATCCCGAATGTCAGAGGCTAGCTTGACTTATTTAATGCCACTGAAGTCCAAGAACAGCACCCATAGATATTACTTTAGTGGTGACATGAACTGCTGAAGATCCTACAGGCGTCTCTGTCTCAGCTCTGGTGGAGCTTAATTTTCATATGGGTCACACAAGTATCTGTACATAGAAACCCCTTAGAAACTGCTAACTTATTGTCCAGGACAGAGGGACCTGAATCAGTTTTGGATCTGATTAGTTACAACAGTAACATGATCTTCTTTTTTCAAGGGTATGGATGCAAACTTTTGCTAACGAGCAAAACTCGTTAGACTATTAAAGTTTGTGGGTAGGGATGGAAGTCACAGTCCACTAACAGCATTCGTCTTTTTGAAGGTTACATATATACTACCACTCATAGTCACATGAAAATGGCTTGTGAGATTTTGCCGTATGTGGATGAGTAGCTATGCTTTTAATTTTCAGAAGTAAATTTGCTTATGGTTTAGCTGATTTCTCTGTATTTCATTATAGCTAATTAATGCACTTTAAAGAGAACAAACCTGTTATGACTGAAGTATAAAGCTACTGCTGTAACGAATACTTTTTCACTTTTGAACAGAATGTGAGACTGAAACAGGGAGGAGGTGGCTTTAAACTATTCCTTCAAAAGACAACTACCAAAAGCTATGCTTATCTATTCCAGATTGCCCCTGCTGAAGGACCAGATGCCAAGCTGAGAATGGTTATCATCACTGGACCTCCAGAAGCTCAGTTCAAGGTATAACACATAAAAACTTGTCATTCTGTAGTGGCCTTTGGACTGTAAGGAATACTGAAAACAAACCACTTGGTTCCAAGTACCAGTCTATTAAGAATTTTATAAACACTTGATTTTTGCTTCCCTTTTGCTGAAAGGTATCTTGTATGAATGAGTAATGCAGTACTATCAGAGGCCACATTCTGGTCACCTGAAAACTGGTGCAAGTTTCATGTAGGTTAGAATCAAGCCTAGCATGAAAATATGGCCATACTACATTCGTGGTTTTCCCTTTTACTTACAAGCACAATAGTTCAGTCTTTCTAGTCTGTCTTAATACATACAGTTCAGTGTATTTAATTGAAATAACAAAGCCGACAAGATGAGAGACTGAGTCTTACCAGGTTACTGTTGCATGCCAAATGGAAAATGCTTTTTGGGTAGCTCTACAGATAAATACAAGATTTCTAATTGTATTTCCACTACAACTACAAGGAGATACTCAATCTGATTATCCCATTTGTGTTCAAATTGAGTTCTGGAGTGGCCTTTTCCCTTAAGTGCCAAGGGATAAATCTAGTTATCCCAAAAGGAGTTGACCATTTTAGGAATGATGCAGACAGCTCAGTGAAGCAGTGCAGCAGTGGCTTCATCACAGATAAGTCTCAGAGCAGGTAGAAAGTTACCTGAGAGTTCATGTGCTAGCATCATTCTCTTGCCTGTTCTTGGTTTTGTCTTTATGTTTTTGCTTCAGGACATCTTGCAAGAAGGAGGTGCACAAACTTCAGGTATATCTATAATTAGTTTCACTAATGCCTTTAGGAGTTTTGGAGCTGTACCAGGGCAGGCATTTTGCAGTGGTAATAGTGAACTAGATGCACATAGGATTAATGCTCAGTTACCATATACATTTGAGAAGCTACTGAAGGCAAAGCATAATTTAGAAGTTCTGCCCCCTTGAGGTTTTCTGTGTGCATGTGGGCTTTGGCCACATGGTATGTTCCACATATGGGGTGCTCTTGTGACCTAGGAGCAGCACAAGGTCAGATTCTGGCTACCTTTTCTTTCCATCAGGTACCACTGCATTTACTCTCGAGGAATAATAGAACAAAATAGATTATAAATCTATAAATATATATATTAATCTATTATAAATATATATAAATATATATTTAGATAAATACATATATTTCTAAATATATATATAAACCTATATAGATTTATGATAGAGTATTAGCCCTTATCCTGACTGTTAACACAGGCAAAGGCTTGACCTCAGGTGTCTTTCCTAAAATAGACTTGACGCCCACAGAGTTATTTTGCCAGCTTTTCTCCTCAACCTAGATCATGCAAGGAGGAAAACCTCTGTTTTCTGCAGCCCATATATTGGTTAAAACCACATCAGTCATTCACTTCTCTACACTTGGGCTTCTCCCTGCAAGGAGGAATCAATGTACTAGGACAGCTGATGTTCCTGGATATTCTGGTGTTGTTAAGAAGGGTTATCCCTTGGGGCTCTCTTCAGCTCCAGTCCTTGTAGTCTTTTACTACTCTTTGAGCAATGTCCTCCTGACTTAGATGGACAGAAGCGGATTCAGCCCTTTCTTTTATCACCACTGTTAATGTGAAGCATGCTTTACAGTCAGAGCAAAGCTTCATTAATGCTTAAACTCTGCTTAAGAAGGGTCTTCTCTGCCTTTGAGAGTAAGGTATTGCTTGATAGGCACCAAGAATCTGGGTGCATAACACCTTGAAGAGGGAATAGCTGCTGCCCAGATAAGTAACTTGGAGAGGTGGCGTCATCCCAGAGCCTGTGAGTTTGGCATCCTTTCCCTACTACATTGTATTCTGCTGGCTGATTCATGTCTGTGGTAGCTGCAGTGGCTGCACCCCTTTCTTTCTCAGCTGCAGTAGCCTGAGGATGTTGTGGTATGCAGTGCTATTACTAGCAGGGCAACGGGAAGAGAGTATGCCACTATTTACAGCCTCTGTTGCAGTGCTCCCTACAGTTTAGGTGTACCCGTGACACCAGTATTCAGAGATTACCGTGTTGCCTTGGACCTTAGACATGTGCAAGCAAAGTGGAATCTAGTCTAGTCGGTGTACTTCAGCCACTATTTTACTATGAAGGAGCTGCAGCCCAGTTAGATTATTTTCTTTCCTTAAAGACTCTTTCAAGAGCCAAAAGATTTGGGATGATGGAAGTATATTTATGACTTTAAAAAAGTCAACATCCCACCTTGTTCTATGATTCAGTAGTAATGCATGTTTCCTACAGTACCTCTCTTACTGAACCCTCCAGCCTGTGCAGATTGTCAAGGTGTTACACACACAGAAAGTGTTGCTATTGAAATGAAAGAGCTATGCTGGTTACTGTCTGTCTCTAACAAATTTGGAAGTAGTTTCAAAATCTCCAGCTCAAGATGATGGCTGGGAGCAGTACTCTATCTGCTCTTTGCAAACCTTTCTGAAGTGTTTTCCTGGAGAAGGAATTTCTGATTCTAGGGCTGATGATGGTGCCAGAATGTGTTAGTTCTACTGAGTTCTCATATGGCTTTTCTGTGTAGTTACTTTCAGCTCCAAGGTCACAAAATGCCTTTCATCTTACCCATTCTAGAGTAGTATGAATTTTTGGCTTTTAGGAGATGAGCTAGAAATAAGTCAAAATAAGCTGCCACTATGTAAAATAATTATCGCATCATACAATCTTCTTGGACTTTACATATTCCATTACAGTAGTGGCCTGTAAAATGGTTGTATTTAGCATGTATGCAGTGACAGGCTGGTGAGCATGATTTAAAGAAGGTGACAAAGAATCTGAACTGGAAAGGCTTTGTGGTCCTACACTTACAGTCTTTTCAGAGCTCCTCTCTTCTGTACCTCAGTAGAAATGTTCTTTTGATCCCTCTAGAAGATGCAGGGTAGAAGATTGGTTACCATTTATCACATTCATCAGATTATTCACAGATCAGTGACAGGAAATAAGGATTTAAATGCGTTTAAAAATCGGCAACGTTCATCAGCTTAGTCTCAGTGGACATTCTTCTTGCTACCTGGCACCTCTGTGTTCCCCAGAAAAGAACCATGTGCTGCTCGGAGTAATACTGATCCCATGGTGCTGTTTAGATCTCGTTTGATTTTTCACTTTAGAAAACTGGGCAAGCTCAGATTTGTTTTTACACAATGTGTTGTAATGGGTTGTCGAAGTGAGCTGTTTGCTCTAACTGGAGGCTTTATCCCATGACTTGTTGGGGGGGGGGGGGGGGGGCTTTTCTCTTTTTTTTCCAGTTTAACATCTTTAAAAGAACGGTTTTCTGAGGCAATTAATTGCATTCTGTGCTTCTGGGTGTAATAAGAAATGTTTCAGTCAGGCAGTTTTTCTCTCCGCCACTCTTTACCGAAGCGCAATGATTTCTCTTAAAAGCTGTGTTTCTTCTGAAAAGCAGAATAATGATTGCTGTGAAACTGCTCCATGATTCCTGGTTTGTCATTCAGTCTTTAAGGCTGGGCAGTGGTGCTTCCTAGTTTGGTACAAAGACTTCTTTTAAAGAAATAGTTATAGCATTTTTTTATTTTTTTTTTTTTAGGGAAAACACTCTGTCAGGGCTATGTATTGAGAATTCTCCTTTCTGTGGGCTTTCTTGCAGTTAACTGGATTTCAGTAAACGCATTCTCTAACTGAAAGCACTTTTGCAGGCTCAAGGGAGAATCTATGGAAAACTTAAAGAAGAAAATTTCTTTGGACCTAAAGAAGAAGTGAAACTTGAGGCTCATATAAAAGTGCCATCCTATGCTGCTGGTAGAGTTATTGGTAAAGGAGGCAAAACAGTAAGTAGCTGAAATAATACTTGTAGTGTTATGTTTCTTATTTCGGTGTATCTGTATGTATAAGGCTTAAACATTCAACTAACTAATACCTAATCCTAAATTAAAGCAGGGACTATTTTCTTTGCTGTACTTATTAAGCTTTCCTTTCTTCTACTGAGGAGTCAAGAGAAGCCAATCTCTAGCCAATACTCTTAACAAAAATCAATAGCCAGAGTCAGATCTGCAGGGCTTTACTGATATAAATGTAGTTCTGCTGTTTAGAGTGAATGTTACCACTCAAGACCTGCTTCTGTGAACCTTAATTTATGCCAGATTTAGCCAAAAGATTTCACTAATCTCATTTAATAAAGATCAAATCCACTGTGCCTGAAGATGGCATTTCTGGTCACAACTGAATGAAAGCATAATTTCTAAATAATTGGTAGGAAATCAAGACATATTCAGACCTCAGTGTTATAAAAACCTCTATTTTTGCGTCAGCTTAATTGATGGCATTTCTTAGGCTTAGTTTATTGCTTAAAATAACATCAATCCTGAAAAGGTGCCGGTACTCCAGTATTCTCATATGGTTGTGAGTTAGGAGCTGGCTGATATTTGCAAAGAAATGGTTCAGTCTTGGGTCTCCATCCTTGAGTACAATGGGATCTTGAAGTTAAGTGTCAGGAGGCAACATGGCCTCTTTCATTGCCTGCAGTGGTGAAAGGGCTTAAGGGCAAACATCTCTGAAAAGCTGTTCATCTGAACCATTTTTATTGAATAATGCTATGTGTTTCTCAAATAAAATGTGCGTAAACAGGACAAAGACTTTAATTCTCCTTAGCACTATGGAAGCTGATAGGTTACTGAAAATAATCTGGATACTTCTCAGTGATCTGTTTGGAGTTCTCCATCTTGTGGAGGTTTTTCAAGGAAAAATATATAAATACTTTGCCTTTTTTTTCTTCCCTACATTACACACTGGATGAGTTTTCTGACCTTAAACTTGTAAGCTTAACTGTAAACACTGTGGCATCTATTTGCTTTTTTTAAGTCGTATATTTAACACCTTCTGTGTGTTGTATTTAGTCTTTAAAACACTTCCACAAACCTAGAGAACTGGGTGCTAATTTATGTTAGAGACACAAGAAGGCTCATCTTGCAAAGCACACACACACACTGCTGCACAAAGATGGTTTCTGTTAGTGGGCTTCTTTTTTTAAACCATAATTTAGAGGATGTTGTCTCTGGTCAGCAGTATCTCTGAGGTTTGGTGGTTATGGGATATGCTTGTTTACAATTTTCTACTATCTATTTATAGGTAAATGAGCTTCAAAACTTGACAAGTGCAGAAGTTGTAGTCCCTCGTGACCAGACACCTGATGAAAATGATCAGGTGGTTGTGAAAATAACTGGTCACTTCTATGCATGCCAGGTAGGAGGAAATGGAATGAACTTGTGTTGCCTTGATGTTTTCATGATCTTTCTTTCCTATCTATGTTCAGAGCCAAGGGACAGAAGACTCTTATGATACAGAAGGCACTGCTTGCCAGGCTGCTGTAGTTGTCTTGCTGCAATAAACTTCCCACGTGCCTGTGAGAGTTTTATCGCAATATTGCACTGTTACATATGTAAAACAATCTTCTTAAATTCTCCTATTGATATATATAGACTCTGGCACTGCTAAAACTTTTAAAGCAAAAGAAAAGCCAGGTTGTGGTGGGACTGAAATTTGGATGGGAGATAAAAGGCATCTCATAATACCTGGCAAGGACTGCATCTGTACGTGCAATTTGTCCACATGGCCCAATCTGTTGATTTAGTATCATTAAGAAAAGGATCATAAGATTTCTTCCCTCTCTTAACTCTTAGTTTAGACTGATTCCTTTTGATACTTTGCTACAGGTGACTTGTAGTTCAGGAAGAAGGTGGGGGGCTGGTACTCCTTAGTCTGACCTTCTGGATTCCCTGGTGTATAAAACAGTTGTCCACTCTCTGTTAAAACAGTGGGTGTTTTTATAAAACATTAGTATCTCCAGAGGAGTAAAATGCAAGTAGCCTGTAGCCCCAATAATCTTGATGTGGGTAGCTGCCTTCCTATGCTCATGCTTTCTGTATTACTGATGTGAAAACTGACCATGCAGGTAGTTGTGCTAGGTGGAAAAACAGTTGAACTTTAAGTTGTGCATCATGACTAACCCAAATGTATTTTAACTAATGAGCAGCCTTGTTGGTATGAGGAACTTGGTTATTCCAGATTTTCTTACTCCCAGTAGCACCTATAGTCGGTTGTAGACAGCAGTCACTGGAGCATGGCATCATGATGGGTTGTTTCTTCTTCTTTCTGTCCTTCAGCTTGCTCAGAGAAAAATTCAGGAAATACTGGCTCAGGTAAGAAGGCAGCAGCAGCAGCAAAAAACATTGCAAAGTGGACAGCCTCAGCCAAGACGGAAATAAAGGTTTAGGAAATGGCCCATCAGAGACAGATGCCAGACCAAAGACAGACTGTGCGACGGAGAGACGGGTGGTGAGCACCTGTTGAAGTTGTATGCAGAAGATCCACCAAGCCAATCACCTGTTCGAGGACCAGGCAACCGCTGAACGCTGTCTCTGAGAATGTATTCTTTAGGCTCTCTCAAACTTTTGAAACCCAGCTTTAAAAATAAGGACCCCTTCACTTCCCTTTTGTTCTATTCTCACAATTTAACATAAACTCGTTAGTCTTTTTTATTGTTCTTATTATTCCCCAACAATTTTAGAACTTGGTTTAATGAAGCTTTCTCTTCTGAGTTCACTGGTTTAAAAAGTAAAGAAAAAACAACAAAAAAAAAGAAAAAAGAAAAACAAAAAAAGAAAAGGCATTGCTCTTATAGGTCCAGTTGTCAAAGAACAACCACATTTGGCGGGTGGGATTGCGGGTGGGCTAGGGTTAGAGCAAGGGAATCGACAAGAGTTTAAGTGTTAGTCCCAACGTTGAAACAAGTGGCATTTTTTAAAGAATTTGGTTGCATTTTTACATAACACTGCCATGAATAACCTAAGGGAAGTGTTGAATGGTGTTGGCCAGGGCATAAAAAGATAAATATGCATTTTTACTAAACTACCTCAGGCATTTAGTACCTCAATGAGAAATTGTTCCTTTTTTGCTTTTTTTTTTTTGGTATTTTGTATACTTTATAAAGCTTAATAGTTCTTGAGCATTTTATTTTTTTAAAAAAAAGACTAAAATTTGATCAGCCACCAGCCAGGAGTACTTACAGACTTATCGGGGAAAAATATAGCAGAGCACTTCTAGCTGCTGGCTGACGGGAGTAAGGTGGGTAAAAAAAACACGGCCTCAGGTTTGCTGAGGGCTTCAACACCATCATTTGTCTAAAGGAGAAAAAAAAAAATTCAGTGAATGTTCAAAAGCTAGTGAATGATGCCAACATTCTGATAGCAGCAATGCCGTTTAGTTTTCTTTTAAGATGGGATGAAAAAGTTTGTGACGGTACTTTATTGGGAACAGGACAAGGAAGTGATGGCAAGAGGCTGGGGTTGGGGGAAAAAATTTAGAAGGCTGCAAGAGGCTGAATTTTTTTTTTTGTGCTACTTGATTGAATGCATGAACCCTTTGTGCCTTTGACCATCACTACCTAATAATGCTACATTTAACCATTTGCAGCCCATTTGGACTTTGCCATTTTGTTCAAAGAGCAAGCTTCATCTTCAGTTTGATAGAACAGTTGATCTGCCGGAGCCTATTTGGGGCCAGGAGGGTCTCCGCTGTCTGCAGATCACATCATACTGCTTTCAGTTACCACGATGGGGGAAGGTCAAACAGTGTTTGATCACATAGAAAGATAATGAAAGGCTAAGTTTACATATCCAGCCGCTGTTATGGGCCACACTAAGCCACTTTGAAGGTTTTAAAAACTATTACAAGTTAAACAAACAAAACCAACCACCTCTCTAGCCTGGCTTATAATAGATGCAGCAGGATTTATGCACGTTCTGCAACCAACCATTAGAGGAGAAGAAAAAAAACCCAACAAACCTAAATGTCAAAAGGCAGGGATAACAGGAAAGTTACCAAATTTTTGAATTTCCAAATGTAATTTGAATGATGATTGTGGTAATAGTGACACATTCAAGTTTCTACAATAAACTTCAGTCTACCTCAGTTTAAGAAAAAGAAAAAACTAAGTATGTGGCAACACATGGTGCATAAAGACTGCTGTGTGTGTGTGAGTGTGCGCGCGCGCGCCTGTGTGTGTGGTCGACAGAGCCATGCTATTACCTCTGAACCTTTTTTTGTGATGTTTTTTGTGCATGAGATGATCAGAATCACCATGCTGCACTGATTTGAGGGGCACAACGAGCAAAAACATTTGTTTCATCATTTTGTTATCTACCTCTTAGGTTCATGTTGAAATAGAGGCATTACTACATAGACTAGATGATTTTCCCAAAGATCATTGTTGTACAGATTAGCTAATTTTGAAAATGGTCTGAAGTGGTTTTTTCCTGCATCTCTTCTTTACTAATTGGTTTAAAAACCACAAACTTATGTTGTAGTTTTAGCAAAGAGAAATGAGTTTCTTTTTTTCCTTTTTTGACAGTGACCTTCATCTAGCCTTTAGGAGGATAATGTTTTTTGTTCTTACAATGAATTTAAAATTACTGAAGTATGAGAAGTCATAGCGTTTTAATTTCTGTTGAGGCTTAAGTCAGTCCGACATTCCTTTCTTAACATTTGAGAAGGATTTGACTTCATGATTTTCCAGAAAAATGACTTTACAAATAGGTGCTGCATTTACATCAGCTGATTTAAATACTGTCATCTCTCGTTAAATTTCTAGACTTAATATGGTAAATCATGTTTTTCTTTTCAATTGAAACTTGGGAATATGGAGTATTTGGGAATAGCTAGAAAGTAAATACTGTAAATGATTTCAATATCCACAAAGTATGGATCATTTTTCATCTGTAATGTGCCCCCCAATGCAGCTCCACTTGCCAGATGCCTCTGAATGGAATAAAGAGTTTAACTCCTATCATCAGATAAAGTCGTGTGGTGTTTTTTTAAGTTAATGAGGCATAGGGACAGACTGTTTCGTGGTACTTTGGTTGAAGGTGGTTTTCTGTCCGTAATAACTCGATAAGGATGAACACTCATTCACAGATATTCATTCCATAGCTACCAGGGCAGCCAGCAGCCAGGTTATAATGTTTGCACTTCCTAATGCAAGCAGTGACTTCTGTCACTTCTAGTTTATCTTCCCCCTCCCATACAACAATGCCATACAGTCTGTAGTACAACCTGCAGTCCATGGTTTCAGCTTCATGCAGTTCCCTGAGGCTGGTTTGCTGTGGGAGGGATGTGTGCTTGACCATCCTGACCCAGAGCAAACAAGAACGGATCTTTAACAGGTTTGAACTGAGAACTGAATTGCAGTGATTTCTGGGGAGCTGGGCTTTACCCAGATTACTTTTGGCGTGCTCAGCATGATGAGGCTGTGCAGTCAACACGGCCCTAAAAACCTGGATAGGCAGAACTAGTCCCACTAGCAAGGAAATCTGATGGCAGGCAACCTGTATCTCACTCCTACCACCATGCCTGAACATGCACCACTTGCCAGTGAGGTGGTATGGCCTCTCCATTTAGATCCTCTTTAACATTTGGAATAGAAATGAAACTACATGTTTAAGTGACTGCTTTAGAGTGAGAGAGAGGGGCTGGAGAACGAAGGAGCATCATGAATAATGTAATTCTGTGATTTTGAAAGAGGAGTGGAAAACCAAACTGGTTTTCCAAACTCTTGCAGCCTCCTACTTGTCTTCACAACCCATTTTGGGGGGCCAACCCACCAGAAAGAGGGAACTGAAGAAATGATGTCTGCAGAAGACGCTGCATAGGGTATTGCATTTCACAGGGAACTCTTGGCTCAATTTGGCACACCAGTACGGAGCTATCTTCTCAGAACCAGCATCATAAGAAGTTATGCCTCCCTCTGTATCGCTGGTGCATTTGTGACAGCTAAACCCCTGACTGTTTTAAGCATTTGCTTAATCATGATGCTTTTATTTGCTTCTAACCTTCCAAAGCTTTTATTCCTAAGCTGCAATTCCAAAGGCATGCGCTCTTTGTATTAGTTTCCATTAAACAAAGCATGTATGTTGTGCAGGACAGCATGGTCTTGATGTACCAGGGCACAGGACTTCTAAAGGAATGTGAAAAATCACAGAGTAAGCACTCGAGCTGGGCTGTATGTAGCAGATGTTCCCTCAACTGATGGACACACACTGCTTGATAACGAAGCTACTCAAATGCAGTGCAGGAATTCAGTGAAATGACTACTGAAGTTCCACCTTGATAACTGTTTCTCCTGTTCATCCCATCATCAAGGGATCCTGCAGTCAAACCTGCACCTGCCTCTGTAAAAAGGACTGAATGATGAATATCTAGACTCACTGGACAAGTTGCTCTGTGTTTATTTGACACAGAAATCACCTGATCCATAGAACTGAAACCATTCCCAATTGTTTCACCTCCAAAAGGGGTTTAACATTGCACAGTACTGATCATCTAAAGCAGCTTTAATTCCCAGATCCCATATCAAAGGGTCCCCTGGGCAGGCAGGTAACCTGGCTGAAGAATGGCAGTAGCTCAGCACAGACTATGATGGCTTCTGTTCAATGGGGGATGAGGCAGTTCTTTTCCTGAGCCCGCAGTCCTGATTGTTTAATACCAACCAATGACTGCTCCTCTTCACAATGTGCTTTGGCAGTAAATTCAGTTACTTTTTTATTTTACTGTTTTTTGTCTCCTCAGTTAATTCTATTTTCACTTTTCTTTGTCTTGCCTTGCAGACTACGACCTCTTTGCAGCTGTAGGAGTCCCAGCCTGCTCCCAGGGAAGCTGGTCCCTACCTTTTTCTGTTCTATTCTGAGAGCTCTTTTTGTTACAAGATACTGTATGTAGTTCCAGTTACTAAATATGGATTCATATAGCCTCATAATGGTTGCTGAGCCTGCCCCTATTCGTCTAGCATTACTTATCTTCAGCCACAGCAGTAAAAGGCAAATGGTTTTGGGGAACGATCCAAAGTTACTCCTACATATCCCTCCTAGGAGGAAATGTTTGATTTAGAACCCATCACTCTTAAGACAGCCAAGGTTATCTTTCCCCCATGTGGATTACTTACAAATATCATGAAACATTCATGACAGCATTCATGAAGCATGAAAATCTTTCTCTGCAGTCAGACTTACCATTTATTTTGAGGGCAAAGATGTTTTATCTACCTGCACAGTTTAACCACATTTAATAAATGGTCCTTGTTTAAATTGCAGAACTATCTGCTGCCTGGTATTGAACAGCAGGTGAACTCAGGGGCAGTTATTCCTCAAGGAACAGAGTAGGCACAGCAAGAAAAAGTGACCAGTCAGAAATGAAGGAGAAGGTTGGTTACCTGTTTCTTAAAAACCAACCCACCCCTTCCCCTGGAACACAACCGTAAGCAGGAAAAGCAAGGTCACAAACAGCAGCTGATGTGTAGGGAACACATGCAGACAGGGCCTTCAACTATTTTGTGGGGCTGTAGGGGGAAAAGTGATTACCCTAAAGATCTACTGTTCCCGTTTCCTGATGCACAGCTGAGCAAGCTTCTCCAGAAGAGATCCTAATCCAGTGACAAAAACACTGTCCTGTAGTTGAGAAAAGCATCTTGCTTTGTGTGGTAATACAACCAGACAAGTTGTGTTACCATCTTGAAGCTCTACTAACTGGTTATTAGACCGTGCTGCAATCAAAGAATACACTTCACAACTTGTGGAAGTGCTGAAGAGACCCATCAACAGCAAATAATGCTCAGTGACGAAAGGGCTTCCTTTAGAGCTACTTTTGCCCATCTCAAAGGAACCTGGGGTGTACACTGTCATAGTACATTTGCTTAGCATTCTTTTCCAGAAACTAGGTGAGAGGAAAACCAGCAAAGGAGCCAGCTGCACACTTAGAATGAGCTGAATGTTTTAACATAAAGACAAGGAATTGAAGCTCTTCAGGGCTGTGTTTTTTTTATTACTATTACTAAAACCAGATTGGCCTTGGGTGAAAAAACTGACTTACTGTTTTGTTAACTCAAGGCACATTTGTCACTGCTGCTCTCAGCTCATGTGCTCAGCAACAGCAGTCTCTTTCTTCTCTTCCAGAGCAGAGCATGACTTGCTTCATCTTGACCAGAAGCAAATGGCTTAATACCAGAAGCCTCATCTAAACTGTACTATTTCACATAGTTTTATCTTGCAAACCTCAAGTCTTCTTGCATTGCTTCTACAAGCAGGCCTTTCAAAGAAAAGCAATTACTCTAGAGGCTAAACCTGAGTTTCAGGGTAAGGAGCTTAAGCAGCTCTTTGCCCTGCTCTTCTCACTGCAAATTCCACTGCAACAGTGACTCCCCCAGGAAGCTCCCTTATGATAGGATTCCCTCTTTGATATTTTATGGCTGGAATCAAGGCTTCCTTTCCAACCTCCAGGATACTATGAGTGATCATATCTGTAGCTTGTTCAGAACTTTAGCTACCTACATCCAATAAACACTGTTTCGTACTGATCAAGTGTAGTGACTGCTAAGTCACTAATGAAGTCTGTATGTGCCTCTCAGACCCGTGCAAGCACACTCATTTCTCTTTCCACTCAACAGCTGTATGAAGTTCTTTCTCCAGATGATCGCTGTGGTCTGGAGTCAGTCTAAAGACGAAGTCTTCTGGTAGTGACTGTGGAGTCATCTGTGCTAACTGGTCATCGTAGGAACCAAGGGTCCATAGCTTCTCCAATTCATAAACTTCTCGTGCCTCTGGCAGCATGAAATGCACCACTACGCTACCTGCACAGAACAGAATTCACAATAAATTAAGGTGAACTGTAAAGCCCTACTATGTTTCCAGCTGCACAAAGAACTCAAGTCTTCCATCCCCATTCTGGCTAGATGTAACAGGTCAGCTGATGGGAGGTCTCCTCTTACACTGCTGATTGAAGTTCTTGAACTGTGTTAGGAATTGGGTAGTCTTTTAAAAGACTCTAAGAATACAGCCAAGAGAATGAGAGGGACAACACCCTGGCTTAAATTAAAATGCTTTCACAAGACTCCAGACCAAAGAAGTTACAACTTCTAGGGGACAGAAGGCAGTAAGTAAAAAGAAATTTTACTTGGAAGAGTCCCCTGATGGCCCTTCAGCTTTCCTGTATCACCAGTAACATTGAGCTATAGCCAAGTGAATTTCCTTAGGTGTGTTGCTCACATCTCTCAGGTAGTTTTTACAATGAAATAGGTCCAAATTTTGACATAATAAGATTTTTCTTACAGGTTTTCATTAATCCTGTGCAAACAATAGTAGAGAACATTAATTCCAATATACTTCTAATGCAGTTTTTTTCTGGTTATGCCCTTAAATTTCAACTGCTTTTCAGTTAAACTATAAAACCCATTAACAGTAAAGTAACCAAGGTTTAATTTCGCTGGCTGCAGTGCTCCACCCACCCATGTTTGCTTTTAAGCAGAGCTCACAGTGAAGGAGAAGTGCTTTCCGAATGCAGTCTTCTACGGTTGTGTAGAGAGCTTCACGCTTGTAGAATAAAGAATTAAATTCAATTTCTTAGGATTGATGTTTTGCTCCATGTCATGGTATGATCTGGACAGTGGACAAGTCTTGTTCAATAGGTCACTACTAAGGCAGCAAGCAAAGAGCCCCACTCACCCAAAGAGGAATTACATAAACCTTAGAAAATTGCCTGCAGTAGTCTTTCTGTTTCCATCACTGTTACCTTCAATTTATTAAGAGCTGTTTTAGCTGTATGAAGAGTAGTTACTGCTTTCTTCTCGGTGCCAATGATCTTTAGTGAAAAATTATTTAGTACCACAATGAGTTCAAGCAACAACTGGGACTTCAAAACAGCAGAGTATTGTGAACTCTTCACAGCTATCAAGGTACATGGTGAGATGCTTCCTTCAACAGAGAGCTCATGCAGAACTTCCCATGTGTCAGATTCACAAATATTTACCAAAATCAATGCACAGCCAGTCATCTGTCTCTTTCCCTTCAATCCGCGTATGACGGCTGCTTTCTTCTTTGCAATACTTGTACTGAGAGAAGAAACAATGGCAGAAAATTAAACACATAATGTTTACTTAAAAGCAACCAAACTTAACAGATAAACTGACCTTGCTGAGTTGTCTAGAGTTGTCTTGAATCTTTAATGGATTAGATCATGTTAGATTTGGGATCTGCGCCCAAAAAAATATCCAAAAAATCCCAAACAAACCAAAACACTTGCAGCACTTGAAAACAAGTACAGATTTCTCAGTGGGATTTAGTATCAAATCTAGAACCCTAATACTCAGAATTCCCATATAGTTATCTATCCATGAATTTTATAGGTGCCCATCTTTTCCTCAAGATGAACACTGAATACAATTGCTTGGCATTCAAGTAGCCTTTCAGTTACCTGTGGCTGCCATTACCACTAATTTTATTTCCTTTCAGATACCTTTCGTTGTTTTATATTGGCTAGTTAAGGATGCAGAGCTGGAAATGCCAAGTTTACCCTCTTCCCAGATGGAAGGATGTGGGAAGAAAACAAGTTTCAACCCATGTCATGAGGAAAGCATTCAAACAAACCTCCTGTCTCTTGAGTACATGCTCTCAACACTTACAGCCAGATGGGAGGCAAGCATGACTGGCACACAGGTTCTCAAGCTATGAACCACTCTGTGTGTGGGGGAGCTCAAAGCACAACTGCAAATGCTCAGTTAAGGCAAAGTGGTTTGTTCCATGTGCAACATGGTGGCCTTCATGTATGACAGCTCAGAGGCTCAGCTCCTCCCACCTAGGCACTCACCACACCTAAAGAAGTTTGACAACTAGAAGCTTAAGTACTGTCACTTTCAGATCTGGCCATAACCTACTTGTCTCTTTACAAGAAGCATCCATAGAAAACAAAATGTGAAGTCAACTGCATCTTCACAGAGCTCCCTTATTCCAATTTCTACTTTAGCTGAAGCAGTCAAAAAACAAATACTGAAACTTTTTTCAAGCTCAAATTAAAACCCAAGCAATTATTAAACCAAACACTTATTTCAGCACAAGGCCACAACCAGAACAGAGACTGAAACTGCCTGGCTGCTGTCAGTCTTTTCTGCCAGGGAAGGCACAATACAGTGTAACAGGTTGTAACAGCACGGCTGGCTAGCAAATGAGTCCCACTTCAAGGGGAAAGCAATTCTCACAAAATACCACCATTCCTGCTCCTTCCCATACAGTGCTGGCTGCTGGACAACAGCCTCAGTCTGCAAACCAGAATGGAGAACTTTCAAAATGTAATTCAGAACTAGTTCACCTTCCTTTCTTTCAGTTAGCTTGCGAGATGTCCTCAAAAGCAGGTAACTGTCAATGCCCATGAAAGTCTGCTTAAAATCCTAAAGAGTCCTGCATGCACTGCCATCAGCTATTTAAATAGGCATATCTCCACTGCAACTTTCCTTCAGCCTTGTCTTTAAAGGCTGTGTAACGGTGAACAGATTATAAGAGAGTTGTGTTAATTTCGTCCTCTAACATGAAACCAGATGGGAAGTGGTAAGCAGTAGCTGGGACTTTGCTATTTACAAGTTACTGCAAGGAAAGCAAGACTCATGCTACACATGAGCGCCTCTGCTTTTTAGTGTAGATCACGCATCACCATAATGGTTTAGGTACTGTAATGGTAAAGCCAGCCCGCTGCCTACCAGCACTCCTGAGCACCTGCTCTGCTTTACATCTTAAGGTTCAGCCTACTTTTTGCCTAGAAAATTTTCAATGCCAGAAAAGCTTGGCCACTCGTGAGTGCTTGCTCAGGCTTCCCAGGTTTGAGGATGCCAGGTCTCCCCAGCAGCTCTGCCCTTGCAGAGCTCCTGGTCTGGGGCAGATGGAAAGCTGTCAGTGTAATGCTAGCAAGTTATGCAAGTAACAGAGTACCTATTAATCACTTAAATTTAGTACGTTCAAAAATCACATTAATACAACTTCTGCCTTCTTGAGGCAGAATTTTAGTTTGCGAATTTCACATCACTCTTGTTCAAGCCACCAAACTGTGCTAACGTCATCGCTGCTCTAAATACAGAAAGCTCTGGTTTTTAAATAAATTATCTATGTTTTGAGTAGTAGCACTACAGGAAAAACATTACAGTTAGTCGCTAGATGCATTCAGGACTAAATAACATACGGATAATTTGTTTCTTCTTGTCTGGTACACCCATATATGTGCAATCCTGAGAAAATTCCTGTCACAACATTTAAAACCATTCCCGAAACCCCAGAGAGTGCAGGGGGAACTGTCTTACCATTTTCAGCATGTACTGTGCCATTGCATGGAGATGTCGTGGTGAAGATCCGCTGACGATTATGAAATAATCACAGTATTTGACTTCTGGAGGTAGCTGGATGACACACATGTCTTTAGCATTCTCCTGCCTCAGCAGAGCTACAACAAAGTCAATGTTGAACTTGGGAAGCACGGTATCTGGAACAGACAGAAAAAATAATACAGTGGCAATTTCTCTTTTTAATTGCAAAAATCAACCACTTCAGAAGATATCAAATGGCAACGAAGTGATTTACAGCCTAAGCCATGTTTGGTTTGATAGTGACAATGCAGCACGAACATCAGATTTTAACAAATGATTTTTAAAGCCACCAAAGTTGAGAACTAAGCACCCTTCTGGTATGTAACACTACCGCTAGATACAGCAGTTAGCAAACATCAGGGTTTCTTTTAGGTAACTTATCTCTTCTTGTTATTACTTAAGAGTCAATGCTATCATGGGCTATTTCTCAATTAAAACGAATGAAACTCAACTACTTCAACAGACATTATTAAAACAACAGGAAAAAAAGTCAAAACATTTCAGCACAATGCTTGTCAACAGGCCCATGATAACACGTGGTGATGAAATTACTCTAAAATCATAGGTAGATTAAATCAGTATATTGAAAATGGAGCTGATGCGATGCTGTGTGAAGGTACTTTTTATCTTCACCTGAATAAAGCCATTTCTTTTTCTTTCTCCCTAATCTGTTCTTCCACAGAGGATCATGATATTGTAGACAAAGCTTTAGTCTTTCAACAGTTTAAGCAAGCCAGTTTAGAAACTAGTAAATTAGTGCAACTACCTTCTGTTCACACCATGAAATCTGTTTATTTCTAATTTGTCCTAATTAGGTAGATGCCACTTGTGCGCATACTGAAGACATAATTTGAATCTGTCAGCAATGCATGCTTGCCACTATAAAGTGAATGTTAGTGCAGCCCAAGCACCACCACAAAGCCAAGCTGTATATTTACCAATATGAAGAAAAAGCCAAACAAAAGAACAATAGCTACATATAATTATATGCATGAATGGGGATATGAAACTGGATCAGATCTCTGTAAATGAAGTCCCCCTTTGAGCTTAGGGACTCATGCACTCTTTCAACATTTGCTGTGGTCACACATGCAGAAAATTAGCAGTGGCCACAGCTCCTCCAGACGCAGTGGTTACAAAAGTTAAATATTTGCCTCATAGCCACATGTGAATTCTCCAGTGCTTACTTAGGGAATGAATGCTCTAAACAACCCCAGGCACACTCTGCCACACTGAACGCCATGGTCAGATCTGGGACAGAGATGTGCAGAGCAGCTACAACAAACCAGCTCTGTGTACGCAATGCTTACACCCATAACCAGCCATTCTGCTACTATAACTGTTCTCTGTATCGGGTAATTTTTTTGCTAGTGTACATCAGAGAATCACACCTCCAACGTAGTACCACTGCCCTCACATAAGTTCCTGTATGTATCCACGCACGGGCTCGGTCTACGCTAACTGCCGACTCCCTGCTTTACAGCGAGCCTTGGGAGGCAACGCTGGCTCAGCACAAACGCCGTGACCCCGAATCCTGTGGTGTCAGCTGAGGTGAGAGCGACTCCATCGTATCAGGCACTCCCAGGATCCTCCCGCAGCTGCAGAATGAGATTGTGTCCCAGTTACTTTATTCCCGAGGCGTTACATTTTGCATAGGGCACCATTTCACAGAGCTGGAAAGCACAGGGCAGAGCCACGGGCCTTCGGGTCGGCGGCCCCACTGACGTGCCGCTTCACAGCCATGCCTGGGCCTGACAAGCCAGGGCCTTACCTCCAACGGAGACCGCAACACCGCGTTAACCAGAGTTTAACACCCGCACGGTTACAGGCTATGAGGGCCCTTGAGCAGTGCCCTACTATAAGGGGCGGGCCCGCTCGACACCCGCACTCTCTCACCCGTTGTGAGGAGCTGGCCTGCGGCAGACCCCTGGAACACCTCCGGAACGGTGAAGCCAGTCACGAGAGAATCAGACCCATAAACCCAGCGGGACGTTAAATGCATGGTGTCCCGTGTCGCGCACCGCTGCTTTACCCCGTCAGCTCACCCCTCCACCGCCCCGGCTAGGCCGCCCTACCTGCCACCTGAGGCCGCTCCGCCACCGCCCCCAGCACCCCAGCTCCTCCTCCTCCGCCGCCGCCTGCCGCGCCCCGGACCGGCGCGCACCCACGGCGGGGAGCCCCTGCCACCCAGCGGGGCGGCTGTGGGCGGAGGGCACCCGCCGCCGCGGCGGAGACGGCCCACAACACCCGGCGTCCCGCCGCCACCGCCCGCCACATGCCCGCCACCGCGCCCCGGGGCTGGGACCCGCCCCTTCCCCGCATGCCGCCCAGCGATTGGAGAGCGGCGGTGACCCCCTCCCGTCCCCCCCCCGTCTCATTGGCCCACGGCGCCGTCGGTCGGACAGCGCCGCTGGGCGCGTGCGCAGTGCGTGTATTGAGGCGTCGGTCGGCGCTCCTCTCCTTGTGGGCCAGCTGAGGGCCGGGGACCGGTGGGACTGAGGCGGCGGCGGCGGGGTTGAGTGCTTGTCCCCGGGGCGCCCCACGGGAAGAAGAAAGCCCGCTGGGGCCGTTCGTGTCCTGTCCGCGCACTGCCCAGCCGCGCTGTGGGGGTTAGGGTATGGAGATGGGGACGTCGGGGCGGGCGGTGGCTCGTCCCCGTTTTGCGCTTCTCGTCAGTGTTTTCTGAAGGTGTCAGAGCCACGAGGCGGTAAAATGGGAGGGTCGAGGGGAAGTGCCGGTACTCGGACACCCGGCACCAGCGCTCAGCGTGTCTGGGAGGTGGAAAGGAGTAGACGCGAAACGTGGGCACGGCTGTACAAACCCCAGTCGCCGTATCCGTCAGTATCAAGCCTAGTGCAGGCCTACAAGGGTGCAGCGGGTTTCAAATTAGTACATTTTTCTCGGGGAAAACGTGCTCTACATTTGTAGTTCTCCCATAGTGTTCATGGGTGCAGGGCGGTAGCCTTGCTGTATTTGTTTTGCTACGGGGGATGTTGTCGGGTTAAAAAGCTATGACCTAGGCAAGTTCACGCATTTGTGTTTACTGTGGGTGAAACGTGTTTCCCTCCACCCCCTTCCCCAGAGATGCTGGTTTTTACACTGTCAGTAAAATAAAAGTGTTACTGTTCAGCCTCTTTTACCTCCCTTTCTGAGTATGATGGTAAAACAGCAGTAGTAAGACTTAAAAGGCATAATTGTGTGAGTTGTAAAACCTATAGTGATAAAGCTTTAGCTTCAAAGGAAATGTGACTAAGCTATACAAGACTGAAGTTACACTGACAGGCCACACAGTCTCTTGCAGATTCCTTCAGGGGCTGGTCTTCTTCAGCTTACAAATACTTTTGGTGAGAAAAAAAATGTTGCATCTGATGAGTCTCTTAATTGTGTGCTATAAAAAGTGGTCAAGAAGAAAAGGAGGGAGGAACAAAAGAAGTGGTTTGAAATGGTACTTCATTTTCAAAGTAATCTTTAGCAAACTTGTTAGCTGGCTAATGTTTCCATTTCTCTTGATGACATGTTTGAAACAATGTTCTTTCTAAAGATGATGTACATCTATGTTTGATGTCCTTTTTTGATGTTATGCCTCCAGAGGGAATGCCTGAAACCTGTCTTCTAACATTTGCTGACATTCACAAATCTGTTGTTTGACAGCTGTTCTTGCCTTTGAAGGACATGAAGTTCATCTGTATCCTAATTTGTTCTGAAGCTGAGTTCCTCAGCTGTCATCTGATTGTTAAGAAAGTCTCCTCCTTCTCAGGTTTGTGGTGCTGTTGCTCTGAGTACTGGGGAGGCTGCAAAAATGGCTATTTAACCAATAGTACCAGATGTTCATAAGTGAGCTAAGACTAAGGCAAATCTATTTGTGTTTCTGTAGGCAGATACTGTTTTGATTGGTAATTGGACAATTCATCAAGTTGCTTATCTGACAGTATCTCTGAGAGAAAGGAAATGTACTCTTTAAAATCATTAGATGGTTTATTTTTCAACGCAGCAGTTAGATTCCATTGTATAAAAGTGAAGATGTAGGAAATGGAAGTTACAGATGAAAAGGCAAAATCAAATTACACAAATTCAATATTCCCACATGATATTTAAAGTAACACAGTGCAAGCTAATCCGTATACTTAGGTTAAAGGATAAAGTTCTTAAAGGATGCCCAAAAGCTGTTTCCTATGCAAAAGCTTAAGATGTCTGTGCTCCAAACATGCAGTGTTTTACTGACACAAGATGCTTTCTACGTATAGCCCAGGTCAGTGGTAGCTGCCATCAGCACTGACTGTAAGCATTATAGCTGTGACAGATTTAATTTTTTCATGCTGCATTACAGGTCATCTTAAGCTTTCCACTAAACCCCTGTCCCGACTCAAACTAATGCAACAAATACAAATTACAGTAATTCCTGTCAGCAGTCTGGCTGATAACAGAGGACATAACATTTGCGCAGTAATTTTTGCAGGAAATGTGTTTTCTATTTAAATCAGAAAGTGGTTTTAGATGCTCAGTTATGGTTAGACAATAGGGTATTACGTTGAAGGAAGATGGAACAATGGTGACTGTGGTGCTGTTAATAATGTAACTGAAATGGCCAGAAAAGAATTCAAATAATTGGAGAACCTGGAAACAAAATAAGAATAGAAGCTGCTGAATTTTAGAACTGAAGAACTAATCTCATAGGTATGATGGAATCTCCATTTTTTTTTTTTTTTTTTTATATCCTTAAATCATTAAAAGGTGTCCATGCACTGGGAAAATGGTGGTGAATACTAGATTGAGATTAAGAATGATGAGTATTTGACAGGTCTGCTAAGATACCAGGAAATATGTTTATGCTTATATATTGCCTCAGGACCTAAGAACAATATGTATTGAGATCTGGCAGGTAAATAAGCTAATTGTATGGAAGTATAGATCTTCAAAGAATTTAGTGTCTAGAAATGGATTGTGTAAGGTCATTTGCCCCTCCCAGTTGAAAGTTAACTTTGTTTTGATTATAACCCTTAATATTAACAGCAAAGCTCTTACAACTGTTTAAAGCATTTTTGGTCTGTTTCATCATCTCAGTAAACCTTATTAGCAGTATCTTCTCCTATACAAATAAGATGCTCTTCTTATCATCCAGTAATCCAGCCTTCAACAGTTTCCTTCTGGTCTTGCACTGTGAAATGTCACAATGCAGAATGATGAGCATGTATGGATAGAAGACCAGATTACTTGGGAAAGGCCTCAACATGAGTTTTCTTAACACAGAACTGCAGCTAGAGTGAAGGCACATTGGTTTTGCAGAAGTTTACACTTCCTAAGCTTTTTGCATCATGCAAAAGCAGAAGCTGGAGCATAGTGCATATAGAACATTATTTACATTCGGGTTTTCATTTATTTGATTAAGTGGTTGAAGATGGAGCAGGAGAGAAATGAGAAGGGGAAAAGAGAATTGAATTCTTCCCCTTCCTGCTAGAATCCTCGTTCTGCTGACCTTTGTACATGGAGCACATACCTGCCCTCTGAGGAGCAGCAGTGCCAGCTCAGTGTCTCAAGGCCAACAGAAGCAAAGAAACAAAAGGCAGCATCAGCAATTGCATCTAAGGATCATACATGGAGAGCCCAGCACATGGGCCTCATCTTGTTGCTTGGGTATCTGTGGTCTAGTTTATAGTGAGACTTACACGCTGGTAGACATGTCCAGTAGGAAACTAAATGTGTCCAGCCCTATTTTCTGGCACTGAGGCCAACTGGCATGTAATGAGCTGCATCCATGCTGTTGAACCCTGCAAAACAGGGTGGCTGCTGCCAAACTCCTGGTGGGGCACAGTGCCTCTGGTGGTTCCCAGAATCTGGGGTTTGCTTGGTGGGGAGCTAGCTCACATGGAGCAAGACTGTGCTAGGACCTCCTAAACAGTGTAACAGCGTCAGCAGTTCAGTGGCAATGCCTGGGAATAGGCCATGGCACGTTGCATTCCACAGGCATAACACATGCTTGCCCCCTGTGTCTGTTTTTCTATTTCTTTCTAGCTAAGGCATGAATGCTGCTAAGGCAGTAAGTAGCTGTAAGGGACTGTGTGTTTAAGATGTAACTATTTACAAGGTTGGATTATTTGTTTAATTAGCCTTTTTTTAACCACCTGCAGATTGTGGATCTGATCATTTCTGCAGCTAATTAACCTGGAAGTCAGAAAACCCAGATAAAGGGTATGGGGTGAATCAGAACACTCTATCCTAGATCACAAGCAAGAACAGCAAGTACTCAAAACTATATCCTTGTTTTTGCAAAGGACTATTTTAGTGTTTCTAATTGCACCAAGCCCCCAAAAGTTAACATTCCGTCTATATGTGCTTTCACCTTACCCCTGTTTTTTTAATAAGAAAAAAGCATCAAAGGACAGTTCAGATATGAGTTCTATACGTAACCTAACCAGTGTTAGACTAAAGGTTTAAACAATGCCTGGTTTGCTTTTCAGCAGAGGATTTTTCTCAGTGCTACTAGGGAAGAAAATTGCTTTGAAATTGCTGAAGTAAGCAGTTAGTCCCTCATGGTTGTCTGCTTGTCCTGTGCTTCTCTCAATAGGCTTGTATTGCTTGTACCTCCTGCAAGGAATGTGCACAGTTAGTTGCTGAAAGCTGTTCAAATGAAAAGTCACATTTAGCATGTGACCAGTGTATAAGAGAATCATGTATTCATGACACATACTCTCTCTCCTCCTTCGCTTTTCAAACCCATCTAATGGTTAACAGTCAGCAGTGGTGACTAAGGCTTGGTTAATGAGAAGGTTCTGTTGCTCTGTGGAGGTGTTTCTTTCTCACCACTGGCTGCAAAGGGTGAGTCTTGGTGCAGTCTTAGCTTCATGAGAAACATCCAAGCTCATGATGCAGGAACACGTGCTTTTGTTAACTACTTTCCTGCATGCCCAGCACCCTTTCCCCAAAAATTTGCCAATTTAATGAAGAATGTTGATGATTAGTTCTTGATCTGTCAGTCATTAACAAAGACTTCTTCTGAGAGTTTTAGACCTAAATTTTGCTAGGTCTTAACTGCATATATGCATCACATCGGGTAGTTTGAGTTTGCTTACTGCTTTCATGCAGTTCCCAGGCCTCCTAGTATTACTGTTTGTGCTTATGAGCACAGAATGTGATTTCCTGTGGAAGTCTTGAATATTTGCATATTTTCCAATGGTTTTGTGGCTTAATCCAATAATCTCATTTTCTTGAATATTTACCATAATATTTGTGAATCACAATAAAAAAGAAACAAAAATATAGCTAATGCAAATTTGTTAGTTTTGTTAATTTAAAGTAATATTTTTGACAGTTCCTTGAACTGTTTTTAATACCAGAAACTAGCAACTTACTTGTAAAGGACAAAAGCCCCAATGGTGGCCAATACTGCCAGCACACCGAGGAAGATAAAGACACCTTCTGTTTTTCCTGATGATGATCCTAGAGTTCAGAAAGTAGTTTGATTAAAAATGAGCCTGGTTTTTACAGTGAAACAAGTAAAAGTGATGTTTTCTTTACAAAATCTGATTGCTGTACAGAGTGAAGTACACTTAATACTTCTAATATGCTAAACGTTGGAGGTCAGTGACTTTGGCAGGAGGTGGTACTTTCACAGCCTAATCAGTTTAATTCTGAGTTCCGCCAGTGTGAGTTAGGTTTTGCCAGTTTTCCCATATGAGTGAGACACATGGCTGCCCTTCCAGCATGGAAGGCAATGGAGAGTCTTGCTGGCACCCCATGAGGTGAGGTTGATTTACTCCTTACCAGTGCTATGCTAGGGGAACATTTACACCAAGAGTATGGGAGATGCAGTCTTTTCATGAGCTTTAATATTAGAATCAGCTTCAGTTTTCTCTTAGAGGTGATGACCAGGGGAAAGGGGATAAAAAACGGGTTTCTTAAATGTTACTGTTTGTTGCAGTCCCATATGCTAAGATTGCAGAGTGTGGCTGAGAGCTTTATGGACTTAAGCTTATTTACCTTATCCAAGAGCTGAGGGCTCTGCTATTTTAAAGTGCTCATTTCAGGAATGGAACTTAGAGCTCTGCCAGTTATTGAACTCTGCTCTGATCTGTCATCAACCATTTCACCTACATCTACTCCTAATTGCATCATATCTGATGGAAGAAGCCAAATCATTACAAATATTTTTTAAGTTCTGCTAAATATCTTAATTTTCAAGTCCACAGATTGTACCTTTATTGAATTTATGAACACTGAGATGCATCCTTGGTCCTCATATTAACAATAGTGTTTATACAATGAAGTATCTTAGAGGTGCATGTTTGATTCCCTTTTTAGTTATTAATTTATAATTGCTGTCTATGAAAATCAAGATATCAACTCAGGGTTTACCATTTACTTGGTATATTGCTGTCTATGAAAATCAAGATATCAACTCAGGGTTTACCATTTACTTGGTATATGTGCCTCTTATATTTCCCAGTTTGTTGACACAATTCTTTGTGAAGTCTTGACTTCATTCCTGGTTTACACAATATTTTAGCTGAGACTTTGGCAAAAGGGATTTACCTTATTTTATTAATAAGGTAGGTTCTTGGGCTAGTTTTCAAAGCAACATATACTGATGGGATGGGTCTAAATCATAGGATTCAACTCATTCAATAGCAGCTTAAGCAAGTTAAGTGCGGATGTTTTGTGCAATGCCTATGTAACCCAGGCACAGTCATGCCAGATTTCAAGGGCCAGATGTTTAGGCACCAAATACTCAAGCACCAGATAATGGGATTTCCAGAAATTCATAAATACTTGCTTTCTCTTGAACTGAGTGGAAAATTGTGGCACATGAGAAATGTTTGCAAACATTAGATGGGCTCCCTCAGAAGATTACTCAAATCAGCAACCTCTCTTAGATCCTAACTCTGCTTTGATTATAGCGGAAGCCCCAAAATGCATCTTAGATTTACCCTCTGGAGGAAACCTAGGAAGACCAGCCTTGTTAGGCTAAAGTTAGCTTCTGTGAATACAGTTCTGAAAAGTCTTGCTGCGTACTGATTGTCATCTGTAGGAGCTGGAATGCATTTATAGGTCAGGCATTGTGCCTTAGTCATCACAAATTGATTTTGGTACAACTAAATTTATACCTAGATTAAATAAAATCAGCCAAAACTACTGTGGCAAAGGGTCAGTTGCTTGGCTGATAGTAATTAAAGAGTTCAGAAGAGTCACTAGGACATTGTCGTGGGAGGTCAGGAGAGGAATGGAGTGTGAGCAGAGAGACAGCATGATCATTTAGACTTCTGACTGAGGCTGAGTTTAATACCTGGTTCTGTTAAAGACTGCTTGGATAATTATGAGCAAGACATAGTGATACTCATCCAACCAAAGGGAAACCTCCTGTTCTGAAATAGTTACCCTGGCCAGACTGTACACAGTCTTTCCAGAACCTGATTCATCTTTTCCTCATGTAGAAATAGAAACCTGGTCAAGGTTAATGGGCTACATAGAGGACCCAAGGCAGCCAGCTCAGCTACAGACTTTGATTCCGTCTCAAGTGAGCTGAATTCCTCGCTGTTTCTCTTATTTCTCCATGTGTGGATAGGCTGACTGGCCTGTCCCTACGTGCTTTTCTGCCCAACAGAATTATTCTGTGGAAAAATAAGTTATGGCTTAAGAACTGTTTATAGTCTGTGATACTGAAGGATTTGTATAATTACTGTACTCATTGGATCGTAAACATCAATGAAGCCAAGTACTAATATCTGAAATTCCCATAGGGAAATAATTGTGTCTTTATCTTTGCCTGGACTCTTACAAAAACTGGTGCAGTCTCAGCTGAGGCCTCCAGGCATAACCAAACCCCCATATAAATTCCTGTGCTCTTTTCCCCTGCAGAGAAGTAACCACCAGGAGAAGCTATTCACAGATGACCCACATCTGCTCTGTGGACTCACCTCCATTTACAGAAATCAGCGCGCTGGTAAGGGCTTGACTTGTGTCATCCCCCAAGGTGATGTTTATGCAGTATGTTCCAGGTTCCTCAAAAGCTCTCCTGATGGTGAGTAAGCATTCATCAGTGATGGTGACGGGGTCACATACCACAGACTTGGACTCCTGACATGTGGGGTCAGAAACTACTGTGCAGACGTCTGTGGGGAGACTGAGATGGGAAGAGAGAAGAACACATTACATCTCTGGAGTGACCTTAGCCCAGTTTATAGACACATTGCACTCATGCCCCAGTTTTATGCTGGTGTATTTTTACTGAAATGAGTGGCACTATAAAGATTTAAGAGTGTTTTATTAATATATTATGTATTTATTTTATACATAGCTGTACATTGTGTGTGTATATATATATCTATCTCTGTGGTTTTTTTTCTATAAAATGCATATATGCAATCTGTAAAATCATCTGTTTGGTTTACATATCATTTAACATTTTATGGAGATCACAGAATTACCTGCCTCAAAACATCTTATATAATCTGTTACCTTTAATACACATCATTAAGAAAGGAATGTGGATTCTTATGTATAGTATCATGTGCCAAAAAAGTGAACACTAACTTATGAGTGGTTAATTGTTATCCAGTTACATTACCAAGATGATTCTTGTACTTCTCAGTCCTCTCAACAATAATCCCCTTCTAGGAGCTAGGAATATTAGTGCAATGTTTTTCTATCCAAGAAATTGCTTGGACACATCCATTTACTTTTAAGTGTCAAAAAATCATAGACAGAAAGAAGGGGTTTCCTTCCAATTTCAGTAGACTGCTTCCCATTTTCCAGTAAGTGCTGAAATCTTGTCTTGGCCAAGAAAACACAAATTGTTTCTCTCTGCTATCTAGTTGTGGTTTTTTTTTACTGAGGCTTGACATTTGTTCTGAATCCTACAAGCCTGGCACTAAACCCTGTTTTCATAGTTTACAAATGAGACTTGCATTATCTTTAGTTCCAGTCAAGAAATAGAAACACTGCAGTTCCCAGCTTTTGTTCATGCAGCTGTATCTAAGCACAGACTGTGTTCCAGCACCTAATTAAAGAGGGAAGACTGGCAGTTTCATTCACACACTTACCTCCCTTGGCAGGTAACAACAAAGTCAACCAGTGAGTTTTCAGCTTGACTTTCTGTCATCTGGATGCTCATCATCTGTATAATATTTACCTCAAGGATTCCCTCTGGGAGAGGAAGCAGATGTCAGTGGTAGAACACATGACAAGCTCTGAAGTCTGTATGTACGGAACATCAAGTGTTTGGCTGATACTTGGTTCAGGTCTTGTTTTCCATAGCTTTCTCCCTCCCTTAGCACTCCTCTTGAGCAGTTTGAAAGCTGAGGGATTTTACAGTGCTTTTGCTTTGGGGCTGCTCCTTTCTGCTCTATTTTATTTTTCCATTATTATTATTTAGTTATTTATTTTACTGAGCCACTTTCCTGTCCCACTCCCTGTGACTTTTGTTCATGCCAAGGCCAATTCAACCTTATGTGACTCCCACCAGGCTAGTATGTTCCAGGTGTGGCAGGTTCAGAAGCTGATTATATAGAAAGTAGTGGTATGGTGCACATACCCACTAGCCATTTTCCAGCCTGAGTGCCTGGAAACACCGTATGTAGCATAGGGGGAGCCATCAGCAGGCATCCAGACCAGTGCCTGGCCTTGCATCTCTGAAATCAAGAGTCTATAATCTCTGCTATTTAGGTCTTGGCAGAGCGTGTAAAGAAACCAAAGTCAGCCAGTTAGCTGTCTGTGCATTAATCTCTTAAAATGTCAGCTATGTCCAGAGAAGGATCTTATTGTGGGTCTTGCGTATTTGATAAAATTGAACCTAAATAAATACTATCTCTACCATACATTGTTGTTAACCCCAGTCTTCCATTCAGGTGTTGACCCATATCCTTACCTACGACAGAGATACCACTTCTGTAGTATCCATTTCTGTAAATATGGCAGCCTTCATCTGGATTATCTTCCATTGACTCGACAGTGGTAGAATAGTCTTCATTAGAAGCTGCTCCAGCAATTACTGTTGAGTTGAAGGAGAAAGAATAGATGCATGGCTTTAGAACAAGTTCTGCTTAGAGGTATTCTGATCATGGCCATATGTCTCAACTATATTCATTACCTAGGTCATTAGTCACTTTGGTTTGCAGCTGTGCAGTCACATATGTATCTGTATGGGATCACAGTAATCAGCCTTAAAGAAAACACGTGCCCAGCTGTAGAACCCTGAGGTGTTCTGGGTAGCCTCACTCTAAAAGCCACCTTGCTAGTGAGCCATCTCTGTGAAATAGAAGTGAGACTGCAAGGTTTGATATAATTAAACTCTTCTTTAAAATTCCCAAATCAATTACAGAAGAAATCCAAAGGCCAATAAAGGGTTTAAAATGCTCTTTTAAAAAGAAGGTATTTCCTCATTGCTCTACATTACAGCTGGTGGAAAAATGAAGAGGGGAAGTGGTGAAAATTATATCTTTGCATTCATTTTTCATTCTCACTCAGCATTTTGGTAAAAGCACATGTTAAAATTCTGAAATTTGAAAAATATAGCCACATTTACAATTGAATAGTATTATAACTACCCAGCCTGAAACTGCTGGCCTTTTGCAAACCTTAAAACCACTGAGATGATAAACAAATGCTGAACATAATGAAAGTTATTTTGAAATGTGAAAGTGCATAAATTTAAAGTGGAAAAGCAGTTCTGGGATAATGCTACATGGAAATCCCATATTTTGGAATATGAGTAAGTTTATTTTCTAGTTTAATCCAATCTCATTTAGTTTCAGGTGGATGTTAATACAAACCAGAAAGGAACTGGTTAGAAGAGTGTTGTGAAATACCTCTGTCTCACTTAAAACTTACATCTTACCTCAGAGGGTGGTGCTGAGTAGGCAAGGCTAAAACCACCAGACCTGATATGGTAGAGGGTATAAAACTAAATCTATATGTACTGCATGTCCACATGAAGACCTTATATGCTGTCACTGTGGTGGTAGAACTGGATGTGTCATGTGTTAAATGTGTAAGTGATGGCTACCATAGAATCATAGAAGAGTTTTGAGAATCATTGAATGGTTTGGGTTGGAAAGGACCTTAAGATCATCCAGTTCCAACCCCCCTGCCATGGGCAGGAATGCCTCACACTAGACCATGTCACCCAAGGTTCTGTCCAACCTGGCCTTGAACACTGACAGGGATAGAGCATTTACCACTTCTTTGGGCAACCTGTTCCAGTGCCAATCGTTTCTCAGCCTTTCAGCTAAGATCAAATGTAGTGTAGAGTTTATGCTTATTGATTCTGTCTCTAAACCAATTTATAGAGGGTTTGCAGAGCTTTGCAGCTCTTTCATTGATGACAGTAAAACTTCTAATGGTATGAACCTAGAATATCAGAATTTAGTTTTAGCATAACTCAGAGTATCATCGCTGTTCAATAAACTCTTACCTGCTGAGGTGGGCAGTGGTGCAGTGGGTGTCACTGGCTTACAAGGTACAGGTATGATGGCTTGGACAGTTAAATTTGGAGTGAAGTTTCCTTGCAGAGTATAGGTGTGAGACACCACAGGACTGCTGGCTACAAATAAGCCACTTCCATCTCCAAAGTTCCACTTGTAAGAGATGGCAGAATTATTAAGATAGTAGCTGGGATCATGGATCTTCACATCAAATGTGATTGGTGAGTCTTTGATAAAAATGGAGTCTGAGATGTTGCGATCATGTTTTTGGAACATACTCACAGATACTGGAATTTTGTCTGGAGTGGGGGAAAAAAAGGAAGTAAATAATTAAAGCATACATACCTGGCTGCAAACAACAAACAGCAGCAAAGTTCCTGAACAGCAACAGTCAGAATGTGAGACATGAATATCTTTAACATGGGTTTCTACTTTAATTTGGTTTACTGATCTGAGGGTGAATGTCAGTAGGAAACAGTTACCCAGAAACAAATGAGGAATCCCAGGCATCTGTGGAATATTGCATTTCCTCTCATAAATAATTTTTCATTACAAAGTAGAGGTATCACAACTGAGCTAGATACAAAGGTCAATTACACTACTCAGAGCAATTTACCAGAGATTCCACTTTCATATCAAAAACCTTTCTTAGGCCAATGTCTTCTTTTTGTGCCAGATAATGCTTGTGCTGAATTCTTTTAACACCTAAACAATACCCCCAATATTTTATTACAGTTTATTCTGGCACACTCACCTGTCACAACATAAATGGCACTTGCTCTTGCAATTGGAACGTATGATGAGTGCCCTCTCCTGTAAATGGATACTGCCATCACGTGTTTGCCAAGAGTGATATTTGCTGTGTTGACTGAAAACATTGCTGAAGATCGTCCAGTTCTCTGATAGTACTGACCTGAAACACAACATGAAGTTTTCTCCTTCAGCCAAGCTACAAGTTGTTTTAAGAGAAGCAATATATCTGTGAATCTTGGATTGTCTAACACAAAATGAATAGTTTAGAATTGTGTTTGTTACTTGGCAGGTGGGTTTTGGAAGACTGAATATTTTTACAATGTGTTTACTCCCATTATTTATGTGGGTTTTTTTGAAGGTGTCAGAAACATGCCCCAAATTTCAATAATCTAAGAAAAATTAGCACCTGTATCTTTCCAAAGCAATTTTGTTACATTAAGTCATTAGGATTATGTACTGGATGTTGTTACCTCTTAGGCACTTTAAGTGATCTTGTGTTTGCACTTTCAGTGTAGCAAGAAGATATAATACCTCTTTCTTCATACCCTAGAGCCCTTTGTGTACGTTTGCTTATTTGTCTTTGTAACAGCTCTTGGGGTAGGTATTACCTCTACCTAAAATTTGGGACATTATTATTGTTACTACTCATGCTGATACTGATGATAATATTGATTTAGCCCAGCTAACTTAGGATACTAAGATTTAGTATGTAGCCAATGGCAGGAATAGCCCAACAGTTACATTCCCTGGAGCTGGAAATGCTGAAAATTGGCATCTGCAACCAGAGCAGTACCACACAGTCAGTGGCAGTTTTCAGTTATCCAGAGGCAAGAAGTGCTGCACCATTTAACCAATCTGAAGATACACAGTGCTATGGTCTCTCTTAAAGGTAAGGATCTGAAGTGGCAGTGAGTGGTCAACAAATCATCTGACTTACCTGCTCAGACCCATCTGACCCCTTCCTAGAAAAGGAACCTGCTCAGACCCATCTGACCCCTTCCTAGAAAAGGATCTTTGGGTACTACTGAAATTACTTTTCTTCAGTGGTAGTACTGTGAATGCAGATTTAAAGAGAATCTCCTGGTAATTCATGATTTCCAGGCAAAGCAGCTGATGGCCTCTCTGGAATGTGGTGAATGAATTTGGGATCTCCACTTAAGAGTGTGAAATCCTTTTTAAAGGACTTCTAATAACATACTTGACAATTGAGCTGCAGAATGCAGAATGAATATAAGCTTTGCAGTGTCAGCCAAACCAAAGGATGTGTTACGGTACTAACCAAACGTGTGAAACACGTAGACAAAGTTTCTTCTCCTCCAGCCAGGATAATGAGGGAAAGGTCTCCCATCTGGGAATACGTTATGGCTGTGGTTGCTTGTGCAGTTTTCCCAGCCACAGTTGTCAATCCATTCAGTCCAGTTGTAGACATAGACTTGCTGATCTTGGGAAACTGGAAAATCTAAGTGTAGAAATAGGACATGAGAAGTGTGCAGAAAGGCAGGGAGCAGGAGGCGGACACCCCAGTTTACAGCAGTTACAAGAGGTTTTAAACATCTAAAACGAGGTTTTAAACATTCTAAAGTTGTGCTTTGTTTTTTAATGTAAACACACCATTATTCTGGCTTGGCATTATTTTATTTAGAAGCTTAAAAAAGCTTTAATGTCACGTGGGCCAGACAGTTTGAAACTCCTTGCCCAAAACTTGCTGTTGACTACACAGGATGCTACTGTTTCACTGGAGTTAATGGGGCTACCTGAACCTTTGGCAAGCAGAATCTAAAATGGTGAATAGCAATAGCAGCCACGGAAGTGCTGTGAGGAAGTGACTTTGTTTTGCTAGAAAAGTTTCTATGGCACCTTTAAATAACTCAGACATGACTTTCAGTTCCTTTCTTAATAATGAGAAGGCAGTTTCTTTCCCCAAACAGCAAAACAGATCTTAAGTAGAGAATGGATGTCAGCTGTTAACAAAACATTAGGCAATCAAAAAGTAGAACTGAGGCTGACAGAGTTGCTGACATGCCTTGAAATGGAAATTGGTTTGATCTGTAAAACAATTTGTTGAACATTTACGAATTCAGAGGAGGAAAAGTACAGCAGCCTGTTCTGCTCTAGATCCAGAAGCTTCAAACATTGGGATTATGATAGTTTTTTTGCTCTGTGTGATGGTAAATAAGCTGAAAAAGATGATTCTCTGATGAAAAGATTGCTTGATTTTTAAATTCTGTGTTTTCATCTTTGTTTTTAAATCTTAAAATGTGGGAATGTGAGATTTACTCTTTCCAAAGAGTTTTTCAAGATGCAGATAATGGTTAGCGTGTTCTACAATTCCCAACTGGGAAAAATAAATAAACCAGCTGTATAAATTGACAGCTGTATAAATTTTGGAGAACACAGTGTGACTGTGCAACCTTGTGACTGAGTTGAAGAGCAGTAACAACTTTGTTAGGAAGCAAAATTAATATCACTGGTTTGTGAAGGCAAATCTTCAATTAGTTGGTCATTATATATAGTGGGTACAGAACAGTAAACATACCATAGCAATCTTCTGAGGAGAGAACCTGGTGTAGCACAGGTTAGACATGAGTGTAGTTACCAGTTAAAAGCGCCATGGCGTGTCATAGGATGTACCTATGTTGTTTTCAAGGATTCATGACCTGTTCACATCAGCAGCAAAGTCAGACACGTGTACAGTGCAGGGAGATTGCAGTTACCTACCCTGGGTACAGTTTCTCTCATATACTATGTTGCCGTCATTATCTTCTTTCTGGCACTTGGGAAACTGGAGAGTTACAACAAAAGTCACATTGGATCCTACCAGTGCTGGGCTGTCAGTGTCCAATTTGACTGTCACCCTTCCGCCTGTAGAAAAGAAAATTGGTCTTCACTGCAGTAAAAGATGCATCAGAGCAGCAGCTACCTGCAGCTGTGCACTATTTACATTAGAAATGCTTTATTGCATCCTCTAAGGGGGTTTATGCTTCTAAGGGGGTTTATGCTTCTAAGTCACTTGCACTCTTATCTAAACCCCAACTTAGAACAATCAGAGGGATTCATCATTTCTCTCCACATCATTTAGTGGTCTGTCACCAATTTCCTTCTGAGAGCTAAGAATATGGAGTTTTACTCACAGGGGTCAAAGGAGAATATTTTTGTTTCTCTCCAGAGATACAGCCTTTAGACCTCAGCTCAGACCAGGTGATGATAAACAGGGTCTTCACCAAAGTCATCAAGCTAAAGCCCACAATGCACTACCAAGGTAGCAGTTGAAGCTGTCGGTCCTCTAGGGCGTATTTCAAGTAATGGATTGTCCTAGAGCCATCAATACTTCATAAATATTAATGTCTGAGGCTATGAGTCATGGAAAGTCATTTCCTGTAACAACTCACTGTTCTGCTTCCTCAGAAAATGCCCTGGGAATGGTATCAGAGCCAACTGTCTCTAATTTGCTGTTCCTCACAGCAGTGATGGATATTGCCCCAATGAAAAAGCACTATAGCACCTGTGCACTTCAGTGAGGTGGATTTTCTGGCCAATTTTTTCAGTGTATTTGAAATGCATATGTGCAATCACCTTTCCAGCAGTCCTTCCATCTGGGATCTCCTTCTTTCCAGAAAGGATAAAGCTTTTCATTCCATTTATTTTGATCACTAGACCAGCCTTGCAGCTTCCTGTAGGATATGACAGGAGAAGTACTTCCCTGGCCCAGCACATCTTGAAACCCTGGAGAAAAAATGAACATGCCATGTAATAGCATTTTCCTTACCACTCTAAAAGGCATTGCTCTTATGCTGAACAGCTTTCCTATTATGACTATATTCTTGTTCTGATTAGAAAACTCTTCACTAGGAGAAAGTTACAGAGTTTTATCATTGCAGCTATAAATATATCAACTATAACCAACATAAAGACAATTCCACCATTGTCAGACTGACACGCTTTTACTTGCACTATTGCAAGCTTTCCAGAGAAAGAATAAAAGAATAAGAATTAAACTTAGCTAGAGGTATTAAAGATAACAGGAAGGGATTCTACAAGTACATAGCAAATAAAAAGCAGACTAGGGAGAATGTAGGCCTCCTCAGGAAGCTCTCAGGAGAACTGGCTACTCAGGATTTGGAGAAGGCTGAGGTTCTGGATGACTTCTTTGCCTCGGTCTTCACTGGCAAAGGCTCTGACCAAACCACCCAAGTCTTGGAAGGCAGATGCAGGGACTGTGAGAATGAAGACCCTAGGCTCACTGTAGGAGAGGATCTGGTTCGAGACCATCTTAAAAATCTGAACGTGCACAAGTCCATGGGACCTGATGAAATCCATCCGCGGGTCCTGAAGGAGCTGGCGAATGAAGTTGCTAAGCCACTGGCCATCATATTTGAGAAATCATGACAGTCAGGTGAAGTTCCTGACAACTGGAAAAAGGGAAATATAACCCCCATTTTCAAGAAGGGGAAAATGGATGACCCGGGGAATTACAGACCAGTCAGTCTCACCTCTGTGCCTGGCAAAATCTTGGAGCAGATTCTCCTGGAAGGCATGCTAAGGCACATGAAAATCAACAAGGTGCTTGGTGACAGCCAGCATGGCTTCACTAAGGGGAAATCCTGCCTGACCAGTTTGGTGGCCTTCTATGATGGGGCTACAGAACTGATGGACAGGGATAGAGCAGTTGATGTCATCTACCTGGACTTGTGTAAAGCGTTCAACACTGTCCCACACGACATCCTTGTCTCTAAATTGGAGAGACATCAATTTGATGGATGGACCGCTTGGTGGATAAAGAACTGGCTGGATGGCCGCACACAAAGAGTTGTGGTCAATGGCTCAATGTCCGGCTGGAGACCAGGAACGAGTGGTGTCCCTCAGGGATCGGTGTTGGGACCGATCTTGTTCAACATCTTTGTCGCTGACATGGACAGTGGGATTGAGTGCACCCTCAGCAAGTTTGCCGATGACTCCAAGCTGTGTGGTTCGGTTGATACCCTGGAGGGAAGAAATGCCATCCAGAGGGACCTTGACACGCTTGTGAGGTGGGCTGATGCCAACCTCATGAAGTTTAACCATGCCAAGTGCAAGGTCCTACACCTGGGTCAGAGCAATCCCAGGCACAGCTACAGGTTGGGCAGAGAAGAGATTCAGAGCAGCCCTGCGGAGAAGGACTTGGGGGTGTTGGTTGATGAGAAAATGAACATGGGCAGGCAGTGTGCGCTCGCAGCCCAGAAAGCCAACCATATTCTGGGCTGCATCAAAAGGAGCGTGACCAGCAGGTCGAAGGAGGTGATCCTGCCCCTCTACTCCTCTCTTGTGAGACCTCACCTGGAGTATTGTGTGCAGTTCTGGTGTCCTCAACATAAAAAGGACATGGAACTGTTGGAACAAGTCCAGAGAAGGGCCACGAGGGTGATCAGGGGACTGGAGCACCTCCTGTATGAAGACAGGCTGAGAAAGTTGGAGCTGTTCAGCCTGGAGAAGAGAAGGCTGCGTGGAGACCTCATAGCAGCCTTCCAGTATCTGAAGGGGGCCTATAGGAATGCTGGAGAGGGACTCTTCATTAGGGACTGTAGTGACAGGACAAGGGGTAACAGGTTAAAACTTAAACAGGGGAAGTTTAGATTGGATGTAAGGAGGAAATTCTTTCCTGTTAGGGTGGTGAGGCACTGGAATGGGTTGCTCAGGGAGGTTGTGAATGCTCCATCCCTGGCAGTGTTCAAGACCAGGTTGGACGAGGCCTTGGGTGATATGATTTAGTGTGAGGTGTCCCTGCCCACGGCAGGGGGGTTGGAACTAGATGATCTTCAGGTCCTTTCCAACCCTAATTATTCTATGATTCTATGAAAAAGGTCTAAAACGTTTTGATCATATCAGAGCAATTGTTTGTATGAATGGATATAACCCTGCAACAATCAGGCTGGTTGTACAGATATTGCTTGATTGGTGATGGCTTTGTGCTTGCCTGTAAAACGCTAACAGGATAAATTCACTCAGTGTCTGAATTATGCTCTAGTGGAAGTTATGCCGGGAATTAACTTTGACCCAGTGAAGCTGCTTTGGTGAGTTGGCTGGTTGGTTGGGTGGGAGGGGTGGAATCAATTGTAACAGAAGCTGGTATTCCCAGAAAAGGAAATTTAGAGCTGAATAGTAAATTCAATGTGTTTATAAGACAACAACAAAAACATATGAACTTTCATGCCTATTACTTTAAAATGGCTCAGATATTAAATCACTTTAATAACCTCTTTCTTCTCATATTACTACAAATGACGGGCTCAAGCTTTTCCCAGGCCTTCTAGGATCTGTCTTTCTGTCACAAAGTACACATAATGAAAAGCAAAGAAAATAGCCAAGTAACCTGTAGGAACACGTCAATAACTGTGGGATGCCATAAAAAGATGTTCCTAAGTAGGCTCATAGGCAGGGTCCCATGAATGCCTGGAGGCCTTAAACAACTCTGTCATGTTAATCAAGTAACTGCTGGGCGTGCCATTCAGTCACAACATCAAGGGATTTCTGGTTTTCATGGCTTCATTTTAAAGGCAGCTGATGCTGAATGCTGCTGAGGTTTATACCCAAGTACAACAAAGAGCTGGATCACTTCAAGGAAAATGCAGAGACCTGTAAGAAGGGCAAGAATATCCCTGTTGCTGTAATATAACTGGCTGTGCTGGAATTCCTCCAAGTTTTGGGAAAGGTACAGAGCAGGTATAGCCTGTCTAAGCACAGTCTTTACGGGCATGTGACTCCTAATTTTACTGCGAGGGAGAACCAGAGAAACAGCACTGCAGAAGAGCTGCTTCCTCTTGATGTTTCATTGCCCAGTGAAATTTCTGCTGGGCAGGAAGCACACCCCTTGGCCAGTCCCATCTCAATGGTCTCTCTGAACTGATGCTGGTAACTCTCTCTCCCAGGACCGAAAAGTTCAAGGAAGAGAACAGATTTTGCCTGCAGACATACTCTCCCACAGTCTTTTGCCCTACAGGAACACTCCACAGTCTCACTTAAATCACTTGATCGAGTTTTTCTTCCAAATTTAATATATTTTGATGTGAGCAAAGCATAAAGCGTCATGACTGATATTTATTTCATGGTCTGTATCACATGCTGTATTGTTTTCAGTCTTGATCAGAAGGTAATGTTGTCCTTCAGAAACTTTTGTCAGGAAAAAAACAGATTAGCAACTATAAAAGTGTTTCACAAAGGCTTGTGAAGTTCAATTACATTTTAGGTCATTAAATTGATGTGCCATCTTATTTGAAAGCAAGTGACTGGGGACTTTTCCTGATTTCTTTTTCTCATTCTCTTTGATTTTTTATCTAAAATTTAATAAATAACAATGTTTTGGCTTTGTCAGATCAAAACATTTCAATCATTGTTTTCTTCCCAAATGCTTGATTCATCAACAAGAGCTGGAGCACTTTTAATTTTATAAATGCTTTTAATTTTGAATCTTCAATAACAAGCCTTGAATTCATAAGTCATTTTCTTGTCCAGCTTTGGTAATAATTGTGGTCACTGCTCCTAAATCACAAGCTCCTCAGGCATTTCTGTGCCTCCCTGATGTGCTTTGTTTATTTCAATCAAATATAAAACATTTTACAAGCTTCAGGACAAGACAAAGACATTTTTTCAGACGAGCAAAGACTTCAGCACTGGTTTCTCTAACACATGGAACTGAAGATTTTCAGTTGCTGAATTTAAAGGACCAAAGGCTTTAATGTATTTCTCCTTTAACAATGAAAACCACTCAAGAACAGATGTTGGTCATAACCAAAATGAGAGCAATTCACTTCAAAATAGAGAGACTAATATTACACTCAAAGGAACTGATTACTGTAATAGTTTTGGTGAGGTGATCATAGGAGAAAAGATCTTTCTTACACTCTGATTGACTTTCTTCCTTCTCATTCTGGTTTTCATTTTGGTGAAAAATGTAGCAAAGACAAGAAATTCAGCATTTCCTGTGATAGTGTGTTAGCCATGACAGAGAGAACAAAAGCCAGTACTGTAACAACAGCAACAAAAAGATGACCCAGCTGAAGAAGTTGAAAGGGTATTATAAGTAAGAAGGCTGATAGGGCTCAGCTAAGATGACGGAAAATAATGTGAGCTTTCTAAAGTTATGTATAGAAAAGTAATAAAGCAGGACAAAAAAAAAAAGGAATTTGAGGAACAACTTAAAAAACATCAAACTTACTAATTATCTTTTTTTTCAAATACAAAAGTAGTAGAGAGCTTGCCAGAAAGTCTGTAGGGGCAAAGGATGATGTAGATACAAAAGAAGCATTCAGGGATAATAAAGGGATAGCATGAAAGTTAAGTATATTAGTTTAAATTTTCATTCACAGAAGAGGAGCGTAAGAGGTTTCAGTGCTAGAATTTTTCTTTGCGATGATGGAGAATCTCTCTCAAAATGAAGTGTTGGCACAAAAGAAAAATAAAATAATAGAGCAAACCAAAATGATGAAGAAGTTGGCTAGATAGGATAGCTCACAAAGTATGGACGTTATTCAAGAGTGAAATAAATGAGCTATTAACCGTAGCATGTAACATCTTGTTTCAAAACTGCTTTAGTGGCCAAGAAACAAAAGTTGGCAAATGTGATGACAGTGTTTAAAAACTGTTTAAAAACACTTCCAGGGAAGATTTAGAGGATTACAAAAAGTTTGAGGCTCAAATTGGAGAAGCTTGTAAAAACAGCAGTGAGGAACAGAATTAGCAGATACAGTGCATTAATATGATATGCCATGAGAGCAGTGCGTTCCTCACAAATGGATTCGAGTTACGCTGAGGGAGCCAGAGAGCATGGGAGCAGGGCTGGCCTGCTTGTTATTGTCTGCTTGAGTTCCAGACAGCATTTGGTGAAGTCCCACAGTAAAGGCACATAAAGGGTCTGTGTTACCATGGAGTAAGAATGGAGGAATTCACATGAATAAAGAATTGATTAAGATACATGAGCCAGAAGTTAAAGTGTCCAGTTTTCTCAATTGCTGAAATAATTTTTAATGTTCATAATCTGGAAAACAGATTTAAGCTGCTGAAGAGAGCATCTGAAACTAGTAGACGGAAGGACTTAAGAGGCTCAATGACTCAAGAATAAAGCTGTACTAAATTCAGCATAGTTAAATGTAACTGACAGAATGAGGGGCCCTGAACTAGCTATTGCTACTCAGAAGCAAGGTTTTGGAGCTTTACAGTTTTGAATGCAGTGCTCATTGGTAGCTGTAAAACTATGAAAAGGTTAGATAGAGACCAGAGATGAAATTGTCATTACAGCATTGTAAAATTCCATGTATGTTCATGTCTTAAACACTTCACGCTGCTCTGTTCTCTGCAGATCAAGCAGGGTATAAGGAAACAAAGTTCAGAGCTAGGTGGTGAGGATGCTACAAAGGGTTAGAATTGTTTCTATATGAGGAACAGCTAAATAAACTGTGTCTTGAGCCTGGAGAAGGGGTGACAGAGCAGAATTCAAAGCCAGAATGATGAACACCATGGAGGCAGGAGCAATTTGTCGCTCTTTCTGGAAGTACAGAAGTTAAGGCGAATGAAATGAAACCAGCAGGTTACAGGTTCTAAGCGCACAAAGGGTATTTCTTCACACAAAGCACAGTTAAGGTGTGAAATTTCTTGCTGGCAGCCTATTGTGTGTTTGTCAAAAATTTACACAGTTGTAATCAAAACCCAAGTGCATGAATGGGTGGAAGAAAAGTACAGGAAAAACTGTTAAATACAATGACTACATCTGACAGAGGCACTTCTAGTGCTGGGAAGGTGTCCTGAGTAAATGCCAGTATACGCTTGCCTGGTTATACACCTCTTACTGTGTCCCATTGGAAAGAGTTACAAGGCTAGATGGACCCTCAGCTGGACCACAGCTTTTAACTTCTTCACTTTCCTTACTGTAGATTCTGTAATTTAAGCCTAAAATCCCATTTCTGGGATCCCAGCCCTGAACTCAGGAACTCAACCTAAGACTTGAGTCAAGCTGGGAGCCCAGAAAAAAGCAAAGGACCAGCCCTGCGCCTGCTCACTGTGGCTTTAGGATTTAATTCCTCAGCTGGGCTCCCCGGGTTTGGGGATCCACAGGTCAGGGCATCCCAGTGGGGAGCACTGCCTCTGACCTGGCTTCTCCCAGCCACAGCTGAGCTGAGCAACCTGGGAGAAGTCCATTCTACATGTGCCCTTCTAGCCACGCTTCAGCTGGGGAGCTATTGCTAGAAATGTGTTGAAGTGAGCCAAGACTGAGCCAAGGCACAGTCAGCGCTGTGTATCTGTGGAGCTCAGGGAATCAATAACTGAACAGCTCTTGGAGTATTTTTCTAGCTCAAGTGACATTTCTACCCAGAGCCAGACAACCCAAGTGGAGCTGTCACCTCCTGCTTCCCAAGCACACCTCCAGCAACCTCTGCACCTGCACGGAGCAGCCATTCTTACTGCCCTGGCTCAGGACATTGAACCCGCAGGGACAGGGAGAGGGGACAGGGTGAAGGAGGCACTCACGTGTGGCAGCAGCACACAGCACTGCTTCGGCCAGGAGCAGGAATCCGAGGTGTCGGCGAGCACCGCTCATGGTGCTGGAGCCCCTGCGTCGGCTCAGGGGAGCAGAGAGTGCCCGGTGCCTGCACACGGTAACTCCTCCGGTCCCCACTGAGAAGTGAGACTGAAGTTTCCCCACTGCTCTGCTTTCCGATTAAATGAAGGGCCCCGGGACTCATCATGTGATGGAATTAAGCAGAGATGCATGATTTTGTATTCAGCTTCTTTCGGCTCATGTGCTTATGACTCACTCCTTTTGCTTTCAGCATTCCCTGGGATTTCTGAGAGACCTGTTTGGAGCCACACCATTTACCTTGCGGGCATTTTTATACTGGTTTTGCACTATGATCAATTTTTGTACTTAATTTGTTTTTAAATTAGGAACACTTATTTCCAGAAATCCAAATTAACTCTTGCCCCAGCTTGATTTGCAAGCATTACAGCAACAGCTCACTGCATTTGCTGGACCCATCACTACTTAACCTTGTGTCTCTCCCCACATCCTGGGCAACAGCTGTAGACTAAATGGAGATGGGCCAATTCTAACACATCTCTGGCCTTGGCTCCTGATGAGAGTTGATTGTAAAGGAAAATGTTATTTAGACATTTAGCAGGCACATGCATGCACCGTTTAACAACAGCTGCACAATACAATGTGTGAGGTGCGATCACAGACCATATGTAGTGATGGCCAGTCAATATCTAGCTCACAAGTTGCTATGACCTACACACAGACAAGTACTTCATTGTATTTATTTCATGGTGTGCTGAGATTACAGAAAAGCAGACTTTGCTGCCCAAGCTAGTAACAAAGTACAACCAATGGCTCAAGAGGAATAGCATAATACAGGCAGATTTGCAAACACTACACTTAATGGCTCAAATTCAGGTTCCCCATGCTTCACCAGCCCAGGTGTTCTCTTGCAGACAGTGCAGCAACTCAATTTTGTGCAGCCCTGGCAACCTTGTGAGGTTTCTTCCTTCTGTTTGTAGCAAAGAACAAGCTTTGGTGAGACAACATGGCACGGAAACAAGTATGGAGTTCAGTAGTGTTTTCAGTGATGCCAAAGTATAGCACTGGCAAGTGAGACATTGGCTAGCCAGAAAGCAACAAGTTGGGCAACACTAAAACAGTTTTGTTTTGGGCAGGGCCAGTGGAAGTCTCTAAGTCCAAGTCACTTTCAACGCAATGAAGGCATTTCCCAGTGGAAGGAGGTTTCAGAACTGAGACTACTCACTATTTTGGGGTTTATTTGTTCTTTGTTCCTTCCATTTTTCTACAATTTGCTATTGGTTAGCTGGTTTTGTCATTACTCAGGGCACCCCAGCCAGCATTTTGCTCAGTAACTCAGGCTCTGATGTACACTCGTGCATCTTACGTACATAGACTCTGTGCTTCAGCACCCTCCTGGCTGGAGCCAATCTTCCCTCATCTGCCAGCCAAGGAAAAGGGTGAAGGCAATAGCCTTAGGGATACCAAGCTTGTTTGAACTAAGTCCTCGTTATCTGGCAGAAAGGAGAGGGAGCATAAATCAAAGTCTGTGACTGATTATGCAAAAAAAAAAAAGGAGTGCAGCATCCTCATGTGATTGTTGCTTTTTTTATTCAATCAACTGTATTCCCAGCTGACATGTCAGGCTTCTAAACCATTCACAATTATTTTTTAAACCATGTAGGACATTAACATCTTGCACTCCTTTGTTTCCAGGTTGTTGATCCTAGAAACGAAAAGTGACCTTCAAACAGCGTGCTTCAGCACTGGGGTCCTGAATCTAAAGTCTGCTGTAGAGAAAAGAGGTTTGAATGCCCATTCCCACCAGGGTTTTGAGGACCTCCAGAGGAAAACTGCTCACAACAAATGCCTGTTAATTAAAAAGATTATCAGCCTAAAAACAATAACGTTGGTTAGGATGGAATTCTTCGCCATGTCATTTGAGACATGAAATTGTTACTTGAAGCACTGAGTGACACTCTCAATAAGGGCCAGCTGGTGGAAATTACTAAACATGTTGTAAATAGAGTTTGGAGGCACTGAGGATTAGGCCTGTGGTTAGAGGAATCAAAACCCACCCGGGCTGGGGTAATGACTAAAAGGTGGCCATGCTGTGACACTCCTGTCCTTCCCTTCTTCCTCCTCAGCTCATGCGCCTTAGACTACGCATTCCTGAAGGGCTGACACGGGAAATGGTTGGATTCGCTTGTGCTGTGGCTGCAGCAGACACTGTCAGCAAGAAAAGAGGGGAGGAGAATGCCATAAGAAGGGAAGAAAGAGGAAGGAGAAACAGAGGTGTAAAAGGAGTGAAGAGAAGACTAAAAAAGCCAAGGAAAAGTATGAGAAGAGAAGGCTGAAGGCTCTGAAAACTGAGCTGATTTCTCCAAGGGTCTCAGCTGTAGCTATGAAAATGAGTCCACCTGAAACACTGAGGAGTTGCTTCAAATCAGTTGATCATCACCAGCTCTTAAATTAACTTTATAGCTTTTACATCATTATTCTTGGTCTCTGAGAAACAGCTTTGCAGATAAAGCAACTGAACTGAATTGTGCAGCTGTAAAAGAGAAAAGATTTAAATTATAGCCTAAATATTCTCCCAGCAAAGAAGAACACATTCAGAGAGATTTAGGGCTTAATCTGACAAAGAAGTGGGTGGGTAGGAGGTGCTTGGTACTTCACAGCTTTAGCACCTCAGTTATTAAAACTCATTGAGGAGATATACATCTCTGCTACCTGAAGGCCTGTCAGATGACAGGGTGTGAACACATCATGTGTACCTGCATGTCTAGACTGTGACAGAGCTGGCATGCTCGCACTGCTATCACACTGCCATCGACATTAGTACAGGAATTGTTAATCACTGCTCACAGAAACCTTAAAATCAAGGGGATAAAAAAAAGGGGGGATTTGAAGGATGAACTTGGCTTTTGGCCAAACCAGCAAAGGAAAACGAGACAATCTTGTTCTGGCAACCATCTACTTTAAGTAAATGCTGTCTGCCATGACCAGTGGTCTCTTGAGGGAACTCTGCTTGAGGCTGAACAAATCCCTTTCTGGGAAGAAATCATCTGTGTCTCGCATCACACAGGGCATTGGCCATCAGCTGACTGAACTGAACATGTAAACAAAGCTGTGCTGGCAGTCAGGAGTCTTGCTTGTTATACAGGGGAAAAAAAAGCTCTGCAAAAGCTCATGATCCATTTATGGCACCATCCAGGTCAGTTTGTCACTGAAAAATGAATTAACCATGGACAATCAGGCTTTTAGTAACTCCAGCATCTTCATTTTTTTGCTTTTGTCGTAGCTGAAGGCAGGCATTTTACCATTTTTTTATGGCAAGATACTTCCTTGCGGTCACACTTCTCCAAATTCCTGTGCTGGTGCTGATGTTTTCCAAACTTAGTACTTGACCATAGCATAGGATCACAGCGTGACCACAGCATGAGGAGCAGCTGAAGGAACTGCGGTTGAGCCTGACTGAAGGGAGGCTGAGGGGACACCTAACCTCGCTCTACAACTATAAGAAAGGAGGTTGTAGTGAGGTGAATGTTGGTCTCTTATCACAAGTACTAGGATGAGAGGAAATGTCCTCAGATTGCACCAGTGGAGGTTTACATTGGATATTAGGAAAAATTTCATCACCAGAAAGGTTGTCAAGCACTGGAACAGGCTGCCCTGAAAAGGGGTTGAGTCACCATCCCTGGAGGTATTTAAGAGGCGTAGATGTGGCACTTAAGGACATGCTTTAGTGGTGGACTTGGCGTTGCTAGGTTAATGGTTGGACTCAAAAGCCATTTTTGGCCTGAATTTCCTCTGTAGGGAAGGGTCAGATCCGCACGCCAGCTCTCCACCTTTTCAGGAGTGCCTCTCTGTTTGTCTATCCCTATGAATGCTAAACTCACAACGCAGTCCCAGCCATGTGTGTGACAGTGCCCCGAAACTCCTCATGAAAGCAGCTTGTGGGGAAGGGAGGGGAACCCAAGAAATCCTCAGCAGTGCTTTCACATCAGCAATCCTCACAAGAGCTCAGCCTTGAGATACAGACCCACGGAGGACCCCAGTCCAATCATCCAACACAGGTGGAGTGGTCTTCTCTGCCCATGGCAGTTCTTACTAATCTGTGCAGATGACCAGCAGCTGAAGACAAGACGTAATGACAGATACTGACCCTCTAGACCGCACCACACATCTGTTTTTGAAGGTGTGTGAACAAAGTGAGTTTATTCAATGTCTCTAGGCACGTTTGTTTGGAGTTTTTTGACTATGGTGTCAGTGCAAGGAGGAGTGTAGCTATCCTGGTAGTCCCAGCACACTGCTGCCTTAGCCCATGGTCTCCTAAAGACCCCTGTAAGCTTCTGTCTTGCTCTGTGTGCACCTCAGCTGACCCACTTTTGGTTTGGAAGCTGCCACTGTTCCTTTACAAAGTCTGGACGTTGGGTTTACTGTACTACTTTTCTCATGCTGATTTGATGAACTGTTAGCTACATGGTTTATATTCAAAATGATTCATCAAGGCCCAGTCCTCATCCAATCAAGAGAGCAGATAATTGCTGTGAAAGTGCATGAATATGACTCTGTGAGACCCATATTTTATATCATATTATAATGAAATCCATTCAGGCCTCCCTATTGCTCAGAGAGGATTTAGAAGACAGATTTTGTATCATTTGGCTCAAGAGAGAGCAACCAAATCATTGCTGAAAAGCTCTGATTTCTCTAAAGACATTAATTGCTATTCTGGCTAAGAAAAAGTAATTCAGGATCAGTGAAACCAGCAAAACCCAACCAGAAAGGTGATGGTTCAAAGGAAATACACTTAACAAGAACATCTGACTGTGTAGTCATTGGGAGGACAGTGAAGGACACAGTCTCACAGCCAGTCTGCTCCTTTAAAGCTTTTCTAAGAAACAATATAAACTGAATGTACTCAGTTGTGCCTTATTCCCTGTATATGCTGTGTTTCAGTTATTATGGGCTGCGGATGAGAGTTCAGCACAGAAGCTCAGTTATTTTACTGTCCAGCGAAATTGCCTTGGCTGCTCAAGAAATTACCTCAGCACTTCCCCGAAATAGGGGTCAGAATAAATGAAAATGCTGGCAGCTGAACCTCAGCATAACTTACTCTTTCATGTGTTAACAGTGAGACTATGGGCAAAATTCTGCTTTGCTTTTTTTTTTTTGACTGTATTCCCACTGATTCACAGCATTAATTCAGACAGTAACCTTTTCTTTAGTGGCTAGACCCAGCAGTGAACATACAGGCAATGGAGAGGGGGCAATAAAGATGAATGCATTATGTAGTGATCAGCTTTCTGTCTAGAATCCCAGTTAAATAATAACATTTATGGCATAAAAAGAAGACAAACTCTGAGCAAGCAGAGCTGTTGTGTTCCAAGTGATGTGTTGCCATCACACTAGGACTGAAATCCACCTGAATCTTCCTGCTGTGGCTTATTTGAGAGCCTGGAGGTAAACTGAAGGAGAAAGGGCAGGTAGGTTTTGGTGTGGGTTGGGTTTTTCCAGGTTTGCCTGCTGGCACTTGCACGGAGCAGTCACGGCTTGGTGGGACTGTGCATTAACCAGTGAGGCACAGGAGGAGCACTCTGGTTGTGCCGCAACTTGCCCGTACCCATGTGCATGCACGCAGCACCACATCAACTCATCTTCAGCTGCTGCAGAGCAGTGATGGCAGGATCAGGCACTTACATTGCAATACAGCACTGACAGGACAGGGGAGGAAGACCAGATTAGTAATGCAGCCCCAAATCAGCATGGGTTACTGCCCCGGAGGGGTTCCTGCTTGCAAAACATGAACAGGAACTGCTGGTTTTCTTTACTGGGGAAAAAGTGTGTTTTTAATACCTTGTTCTCAAATGCATTACATAATAATCTTTAACAGTTCTGTTCATGTGGCCAAGGAAATATGTAATTACATACATTAAATATATAGGAGTTAGTCTTCTGAGTTTATTTATAACCTTTATTTATATTCTCTGTGATAGGAGCAGTAGATTTGCAGTGATTCTGTTTTAAATCTCCATTGCAATATGGATATTTTATTTCAACTTTCTTTGCCAGTGCTGGAAAACCTAACATGACTTTATTGTGTTACTTTACAAGAACCAAAAAATTGATTTAATACAGCAGCCTACTTGCAATCCCTGGCTTAAGTGAAATTCTAAGGGTAAAATCTCTCTGTCTAGCATGCGTAATGCCCTGATCACCAGAGCTATGAGCTCTGCATGGGAAATACTGTATGACTTGATAACAATCATTACAGAAAATGTGTGTGCATCACTTAACAGAAAAATCTGGTTCTTAGAGCTGTAGTTTAAATTCTCTCTCCTAAAAGAGCAAAATAGCTTAACAAATCTTCCCTCAGCCATGCTGCTCACTTGCAGCTGGTTTCTCAGAGCACTACTGTTCATCAGTGGGCTGGAAGAAAGAGAAAGCAGTTCCGTGCCAAACACGAGGGGTTACATTTTCACTGCAAAAGGTTCAGTTCTGCTGCATGTGGAAGGAAGTTGAATAGTTCTAAAAAATAATTCAGATCCAATGTAAGATAGTTGCAGTTCTTCTCAGTAAAGGACATTATCACAGAATCACAGCATCATATCCAATTATATCGTTATACCCAATTTGAATACTATGAATGTAACCCTGTACTCTTAAGTGTCTGATATCAAAGTATAAAAGAATGGAATAGTCCTGAAAAGAAAATAAAGAAATGAGAAGCAGAAGTGAAGAGGAAGGAAATGGATTGTACATTCAGGTCTCAATAAATTCCCACTGATTTGTCATCCTACAGTTGTCATGAGTGGTGTTCAGATAAAGGCAAAAAAAAAATATGGTTTTATGAAATGAGAATAAAAAGATAAAATTAAAATAGAGATAATTTGATCTCTTAGTTACCAATTGATTGCTACATTTCCAAGCGCCTAGTTCTTCCATTATTACACAATAAAAAAGAACTTTCGACAAGAAAAACTAGTTATTGAATGGAGCTTTGTAGAATGAAAAATAAAAACATAAAAATTGGCATTTGATTTGCTAAGACACAGATGCCAAGGAAGCTCAAGGTGTAAATCATTCTTTACTGACCAGTGTTCTTAACAGTTCAACTTCTGGGGATGTGCTCATAACAAATATAAACTACATTAGATGGGTGCTGAGCACAGACATATTACTAATACATTTCCATGTACTTGAACTATATTTGAATAAAGAAGTTTAATCAGGATGTTGACAGATGGAAAGAAAGGTAGTATACAGCCCTGATGGCTATACTTATTTTATTTAGAATATAATGAGAAGTCAGAACTTCTTTACCTTGTCATGGTGTTTGTTGATGAAATCCAAAAGTCTGAAGCTGGGAGCTGAGTGGATGAAGCCGCTTACCTGTTGTGGCAGCTGAATTACTCATTTCACCCCGATACCCATTTATGTGCCCCTGCCCTCCTGTACCCCTACACTTCCCCTTGGTACATACAAACGTTTACATTTTTAGAAAGAAGTAATCTAGTGAGCACTAAACTCAGCTGGAGGTCACTGATCAGTGAAAATAAGAGAATGAACCTGATGGTGACAACACCGTCTGATGCTATTAGCCAGGGTGATGCTGCTGCTTGGCAGTGGGTTCAGAAGAGTAAATAGCATCACTGAAGCACTATGCCACTGGGCTGGAGCACTGGCAGCAGCAGCAGCCACTTTTCAGACCGGTATTTTGCATGGATATGGTTTCCACCAATACCTCAGAAGAAATCCAGCTCTGGGTTACGGTGATGTCTTTAACTGTACAGTGTCTCAGAACTGTCTCGTTAAACCCCAACTGAACCATCAGAACACTGAGATCAGTTTGTTTGCTTTAATTTTTTGCTTGTGTCTTAACATGTAGCACAGAAGTGACGTAGGATGCAGATCTCCCTGCTGACTGGAGCAAGTCAAGAAGCTTCATAGTTAATGCCCAGGGCCATGTGGCTGAGGAGAGAAGGTAGGGAGACTTCTCAGAAAGAAAATGCTAGAGACATTGCTAGTGTCTGGAGGTGCCTTGCAGAGGGTCTGTGAGCCAGGGTTCTTCATCATCCTCTCCATCTTGGCTGTCCAAACAGTGAGAGGGAACGCATGATGAGGTGGGGTGTTTAAACATCTGCGGCTGGGAAAAAGGTGTATGAATATGAACAAGGAAACTCCACTGCCACTCTCTGGGTAAACAACTTTGCTTT